CTTTCCCCTTCCCCTACCTCTGAGAGGGCAGAGTGAAGTGATCCAGGGGCCGTTGCCTTGCGAAGAAACAGATCCGAAAAATCCAGGGGCCAGCCTATGAAACATGTCCTGTACCGGGTTTTTATAGAACAACTTCTCGTGCTAGTGTTTGCCTCAAAGACTGTGGCTCAGGTGATCTGATGGGGGAGGGAGGGCACTTTGGTTATTACAGTCCTTCCTTAGAAGCAGTGGATCATAAAAATCACCAGGTAGTGATGTTTTCATTTACTTATTTTTATATATATATATATATATATATATATATATATATATATATATATATATTTTTTTTTTAAGTTGATTTTTATAGATAGAGAAGACAGAGAGATAGAAACACTGGGGAATTGAACTGGTGACCTCTTGGTTCCCTGGGTGGATGGATGCTCAACCACTGAGCCCACACCGGCCGGGCAGTGGTGGTGGCGATGTTTCCATGTTTATTTTTGGACTTCAGTGATGCCGATGACTTGCCTGCGAAGACTGGGATTCAGATGCCACTCTCATGCCTGGGCGGCTGCCCTGCTGAAAAAGAGCTCTGTGCTCTGGTCTGTCTGGCCCCGCCTTCGAGGCTGTGTTACCCTGGGCAAGTCATTCTCCCCCAGCACCGTTCCCTTCTCTAAAAGCAAAAGGGCTGGACTTTTTGAAATCCTCCCCTTAGTAAGCGAGCGAGGCCAGCTCAGGCTGTGGCCATAGACGCTGCCCAGACCTCCGTTGTTTCCAGAGACAAAGGCTTGCTCCTTGCCCCCCTCTGTGCGTGCTGTGCCCCTGGCCTCCTTTCCTCGGGGCTCCAGCTCGCCGAGCTGAAGTCCCCATCTGGATGCCGCAGGTCTCCGGGCGGTCAGGGGGACATGGAGATGGAAACCCCGCAGCAGGCTGGGCTCGGGAGTGGCACGTGTCACTCCCACCCCAGTTTCCTGGACCCCAAAGCTCGTCAGAGTGAATGAGGTAGGCAGGGGTGACCCTCTCAGAGGGAAGGCCCTCGGAGAGCAGTAGGAAATATTCGGAACAGGACTCATCACCGCCCACCCTCCCGTCCCCACTGTCCTGTGGTTGGTGCTCAGGGTGTTGGGTCCTTGGGTGGAAGCAGGACCAGAATCAGATCGGAAGGCTTTCCTTTTTTCCTGCCTGTTCCCTGTTTGAGGCACTTCCACTGGACTGGACTTGGGAGGGATATTGGGCTCGTGGGAGGGGTGCGTTCCCGGTTATTAGGGTTCTGTGCTCTCACAGCCCATGCCTTCCAGCGCACTGCATGCAGCTACTGCCAGGGGAGTATTGACAGACCTGCAGGTACGCTGTGGTGGTGTAAGTGCTTAGCTAAATCCCTCAGGTGCGGATTGAAAAGAGAGACTGCGGATCCCAGCAGGACACTGGCAAACGTGGAGGGCGGTAATGGCCTTTTCAAAATCGCAGGGGGAGGGAGGAACACGGAAAAAGACACTTAAGTTCTTGATTGTCTAGAAACGGTCCGGGTCGATGAGACTTCGGAGACTGGTTCATAGAAACCGTCTCATTCCAGCTGTCGTGTTAGCACCGATGGCCAGGAAAACTTTTCTGTCTCACCCACAGAAGCCTGCCTTTCCCCCAGAAACGAATCTCCTCTTCAGAGTCAGGAAAACAAACAAACAAACAAGAAACTGTGAAAGTGGAAAGGCTGCCTTTATTCAGCAGGCATCACGGTGTTCCCCGATTCTTAGAAGGAGGGCGGAGTCCTAGCCTTAAACCCCACATTGGACCTCAGCAGTCAGATGACTTCCAGGCCTTCGAACAGGAACAGGTTTTCCTTGCGAACTTGAGTTGTAAAGAGGGTCCCTCTGGAAAGTTGGCAAACCCTGACTTTCCTGGCATGGGGATCCGGTTTTTTCTTTTCCCCTCCACCCAGAGCTGTTGACAGGGTGGAGTGTACTTCCGTGAAATTGCATGTTTCCAAAATAGGATCCGCTCTGAACATTTTACTGCTGTGAGAATGGAATTGCTGATCAAAAAACGAGCAAAAGCCAAACACGCTAGAAATAGAACCTCAGCTCATAGTCTCTACTTTCGTCTTCATCTAGGATGGAATTAATATACTTTATCAGAGTGCCTTTTGAGCAGAAATGTGGCCAGTGGCTTCCATGGTGGTCCGAATTCCATCCTCATTTCTGCAATCGCATGTAGGGATATTCCCAAGCTCGTGGGGTCATCGCACTGTCATGAATGCTGCTCAGCTTCACTCGTAGTCTGTAGTCTAGGCTGGGGGTCCCCAAACCGTGGTCCGTGAGGTCCGAAAGACTGGCGACCGTTGGTTGAGGCAGCTTCCAGGAAAGAGTGCTAGACTCTGGATCTCCCCCCAACCTTCAGGACCAGGAGCGGTCCTGGTGTTCCCTGCTGGTGAGAAGGCGGTATTCGCTGCTGCTGGGATGGGATGGTTGTGTTACGGAACTTGCTTGTGCATCACAGAAGTGATAGTTGAAGAAGGAATTTGGGATCAGCAGGATGAGAACACTAGATGTATTGTTTTGCTGGATCCTATGGATTCATTAGTTGACGGTCTATTCCCCGCGGCATCAGCCGATCATTTTCTTCTCCGAGGTGAAGCGTAAAAAGGCTATAGCGATGACAGTAATGCCGGGATAGGACCTTTTAAAGTGGTGTACTTGTTGGGCCGAAGCCGGTTTGGCTCAGTGGTAGAGCGTCGGGCTGCGGACTGAAAGATCCCAGGTTCGATTCCGGTCAAGGGCATGTACCTTGGTTGCGGGCACATCCAGGTAGGGGTGTGCAAGAGGCAGCTGGTCGATGATTCTCTCTCATCCATGTTTCTAGCTCTCTATCTCTCTCCCTTCCCCTCTGTTAAAAATCAATAAAATATATTAAAAAAAAAAAAGTGTTGTACTTGTTGGTTCTTAAAAATGGCACCTTTCATAGTGCTGTAGAGGGAGAAAGGCGAGGGCCTTGGTCAGGAGGTGATGAGCGGCCCTGGCTTCTAACCCACGTGGTCACACAGGAAGTGCTCAGTAAGTCTAGGATATTCATGAATGGATTTAGATGTGGACTGGAAGTAACAGTGTCCTTCTGAGGGTGGATCCCGTAAAAGGATTATGAATATTTATTTTTATCTTTATTTAAAATATATTTTATTGATTTTTTACAGAGAGGAAAGGAAAGGGATAGAGAGGTAGAAACATCAATGAGAGAGAAACATCGATCAGCTGCCTCCTGCACACCCCCTCTGGGGATGTGCCCGCAACCAAGGTACATGCCCTTGGACAGGAATTGAACCTGGGACCTTTCAGTCTATCCACTGAGCCAGACTGGTTTCGGCGAATTATGAATATTTTAGCTGAAAGATAGGATGGAAATAGGAAAAATAGGTTGTTTCCTATTAAGTCTTTTTAAAAAGGATTTTTAAAATTAGTTTTTAGAATGAGAGTAAAGGAGAGAGAGAAATATCGATACGAGGCATGATGTTAGCCACCTCTACTGGGGATCTAGCTGCAGCTCAGGCCTATGCCCTGACTAGGATGGAACCGGCAACTCAGTGCACAGGACCACACCCAGCAACCGAGCCCCACTGGCCAGGGCTATGCATTAATTTTGACTAAAAAGGGTTTTTAAAGGTGGCTGATTTGAGCATCGTTTTCCCCCACCAGAGACTGGCATGGTTATCTTTATCCTGTCCTGTAGACCCAGGAGGAAAGGAGCAATAGAGAGCACACTGCAGTGGGCGGGCAGCCTGGTATTCCCTCCCATGGGCATTCAGGCACTGTGTAAGGATACCCCTGTCCAGCGGGGCAACAGCAATGAGCTCTCGATGCTGACTGCTGCTCTCCAGAGGCATTGGGCTTTGGGTCACTCCAGACTTACCTTGACCGCCACGCCAACGTTAGCAAAAAGAGAGAGGATGGTTACCAGGAGCAAAAAGGTTGTCAGCATGCCCTAGCTGGTTTGGCTCCGTGGATAGAGCATAGGCTTGCAGACTGAAGGGGTCTCAGGTTCGATTCCAGTCAAGGTTGCAGGCTCAGTCCCCAGTGGGGGGCATGCAGGAGGCAGTCAATCCGTGATTCTCTCTCATCATTGATGTTTCTGTCTCTCTCTTCCCTCTCACTTCCTCTCTGAAATCAATAAAAAAAAAAAGAAATATTTTTTTAAAAGGTTGTTAGGGTTTGTCAGGAAGTAATGCTAGAGGAGACTGACTGTTGTGGATGTGACTGTGTCCTAAGAGTATGGCCAAAGGAAGCGGGGTCCTGGGAGAAAAAAGGTTTGGGGTGAGGCGATTTCTAAGTGTTGGGGTAATTCTGAGAGTGCAGTTTTACTGGTGAGGAAATCATGCACAGTGTTCGCTGCTGAGAACAGTGGTCTGGTCTGAGGTCTGAGGTTGTGCACGGACACATTCTGTCGGTCTACAGCTGGCTGGTTTGGGGATGTCCTTGGGGTGGGAAGGCTCCGTGTTGCATTCGATTAGATTTTTATGAGCCACACACATGCTGGGCAAGCCTGGCTCCCAGGCCTTTTACCCCGTCCCCTCGCAGAATTCCAAATATTCGGCCCGCTTGTGATCCACCCTTCCCAAACTTCCGAGTTCAAACAAACCATGCGTTCCCAGAACCTTTGCAGGAAGCACGCTGCTGAACGCGCCCCGGCAGCTGTGTTGTCGTGGGCGCCCAGGTGTGGGGGCGCAGATTCCACTCCGGGTCTCGGTGACGGGGCGCTGGCCCTGAGGGCCCAGGAGGGGACGGTTTGATGATGAGAAGGCTCCCGGCCTCTGAATGAACGGGGTGCGGCACCCGCCACATCAAACAAAGATCCGCAGGCCGGGGTCACTTCCCATCTTTCAGAGCGCTGACCTCTACGAGCCTCACCTGCGTAGCCTGCTGTGGACGCAGGGTTTTATATCTAGAGACACCCACGTTAACGGGAATATATCCCAAGTGTGTGTGAGTGTGTGTTATTTTAAGGCGGTTTGTTCCTCTGTTCCCACGCACCAGGTATCAGTATTACCTGCAAGTCAAAAAGGACGTGCTGGAGGGGCGGCTGCGGTGCACGCTGGAGCAGGTGATTCGGCTGGCCGGCTTAGCCGTGCAAGGTAAGAGCCGGGGCTGCCCCCCCCCCCCCCCCCACCATGTGACATCCCACCCTCTGTCTGATGACGATGATGTCGCTGGCCTCTGGGAGGGAAAAGGGACATTGGCTTCCAGATCCCTCAGGGATGCTCCCTTTTCATTCTGAGATAGCGTCCGTTCAAGATGCAGAGGAAGCGATTTTTTGTGGCGGGATGGTGCTGGCTCTCTCAGGGCTGTTTGCAAATGGCTCCTGCTTGTATAATATAATCTCAGGGTTTATTTTATTTTATTTTATTTATTTATTTATTTATTTGTTTATTTATTTATTTTTTAAAATGAAAGAATAGCAGCTCTCCTCCTGCCTTTAATTAAAGCTGCATTTCAGGGTTTGTGGGACCTTTTCTCAGAACCATGGCACTGCCCAGTGCGGTCATGTGTTGTGGCTCAGGGTGGTGGTTGTGTGACTTTCACATCCGTTTCCAGTGTGAGAGCTTTAAACAGCATGGTATAACATCTTCCTCTGCAGTTAAAGAGAGAGATTGGAAATGCTTAGTTGTGACGTGACACTGCAAGCGTGGATCAGACTTCGTTTATCTTTTGACCTACCCCATTAGATTTATCAGAGAGCTATTTTTTACCATCTCTGAGTTGTTACATGTATGTTTACATATACTTATATAACAGATGTTACATAATTTTTTTACATGTATTTCTACTCATTGTTGAGTAATAGCTTATCTTGAGTCATATTAAAAACAAGATAAGGCCCTAGCTGATTTGGCTCAGTGGGTAGAGCATTGGCCTGCAGACTGAAAGGTCCCAGGTTCGATTCCTGCCAAAGGCATGCACCTCAGTTGCAGACTCCTCCTGGCCTGGGCCCTGGTTGGGGTATGTGCAGGAGGCAACCAATTGATGTGTTTCTCTCACATGAATCGATATTTCTGTCTCTCCCTCTGTCTTCCACTCTCTCTAAAAAATCAATGGAAAAATATCATCAGGTGAGGATTAAAAATACCCTCAGGTGAGGATTAACAAGGTAAAAATACATTTTTGGGGAGAAATGTGTTTTCCTTTCAGTCTTTTGGTTTAAATTCAGCGACCGTCCCAATGTCAGCCTGCCCATCCTTGCTGTGCGGGCTGTTGTTTTAGAAGCTGTGAACTGGCCTGCCCATCCCAAACGCTGAGCTGCAGGTGAATCGTTTGGGTTCCGAAGTGTCGGCAGAGGCAGCCTTCCTTGTCTCCTGTCCTTCGGGGTGGTAGCAGGTTAGTGGTGCCTGTTGGCTGCACAGTTGTTACCCTGTGGATGGAAGGACAGAGAACAATCCTGTGTCCCATCTGTCTACTCAAAGACCGGAAAAGGAAGGAACAGTAGCCAGAACAGTGTACCAGAGCAATCGGTTATAACAGAAGATCAGGAAATAATGGAAAAAGACACCCTTCACATGGAGAAGAGAGAGCAGGCCCTGTATGTGCCTTGTCTTCGCATTCCTTTTAAAAAGCTTTCCTTTCTGTTCATTTTCTCCCCTCTTACTCTGTTATGTTGTTGTTAATCCTCACCTGAGCATATTTTTCCACTTTTTTTTTTTTTTTTTAGAGTGGAAGGGATGGGGAGAGACGAAAGAGAGAGAAACTTTCATGTGAGAGAGACACATTGATTGGTTGCCTCCCACCAGGCCTGGGGATCAAGCCTGCAACCCAGGTATGTGCCCTTGACTGGAACCGAACCCAGGACCCTTCACTTCATGGGCCAATGCTCTGTCCATGGAGCCAAACCAGCTAGGGCCCCTCCGCTCACTCTTCAGTCACTGTGCTCAGTGTGGGCTGCCTCGGTTTGTGAAGACCCTGGGGATAGCTCTTGGGCTGAAGGAAGTCGGTGGACCTTCTCTTTGGCAGCTCTTCGTTCTGATGAAAGCTGCTCTGGCTGTGATGTCTGTAAGTCACTCCCCTGAGAGCCTTGCTGGGCAGTTAGAAAGACACCTCGGTAGAGATATATGTCAGCATGAGATATGATAGCTGATGGCCAAACGTGCACACAGGCAGAGCACGAGGTCTTGCTCTGCCGGGAGTCCTCCCCTAGTTGTAATCAGTTACGTGTCTGGGCAGTGCTTCTCCTCTGTGTCCTTCTTTCCCGCTTTGACGCCTTCTAGCCTGCCCCACCCGGGCCTTCTCCACACCATTGTCTGCCTGTGGCTTATGCACATATGTTTGCAAGTTCTTTGGTTGAGGTCTGCCCACCCACCCACCCCTTCCGGGCAGTGCCTCTCGCTGGCCTTCCGTGTGGATCCTGGTGTTCTCTTTCTCTTGTTACCTTGAAGTAACCTGACTACTTCTACCTGATGTTAAATCTTTTACATGAAATTACATTTCATGCTGCTTTCATTCTTTGGAGAGTAAGTGGAATTAGAAGCAAGAGATTTATAGATGCATTTTATTTTAACTTTAGAATAATAGGATCTTATTTTTTATTTAAAAAATCTTTATTGTTGGAAGTATTACATAGCCCCCTCTTTTCCCCTCATGGACCCCTTTTAGCTACCCCTGCCCCCTCGCCCCAGGCCTTCACCACACCATGGTCTGTGCCCATGGCTTATGCACATATGCTTGTAAGTTCTTTGGTTGAGCTCTGCCCACCCACCCATTCCTTCCGGGCAGTGCCTCTTGCTGGCCTTCCGTGTGGATCCTGGCGTTCTCTGTCTCTTGTTACCTTACAGTGATCTGGCTCCACTTCTACCTGATGCTAAATCTTTTTTTTTTTTTTTAATATATTTTATTGATTTTTAACAGAGAAAGGGAGAGAGATAGAGAGCTAGAAACGTCGATGAGAGAGAAACATCGACCAGCTGCCTCTTGCACACCCCTACCAGGGATGTGCCCACAACCAAGGTATCAAACCTGGGACCTTTCAGTCCACAGACTGACGCTCTACCACTGAGCCAAACCGGCTTTGGCCTGATGCTAAATATTTTACATGAAAGGAAATCTCATGCTGCTTTCATTTTTTTTTAATAAGCAAGGGGTTTATAGATTTGTGATACAGGCTCACTGTGTTCCTTTTGCATGGGCTCAGACATAGCACCATGGGATGAAAACAGAACAAAACAGGATTTTTGGCATCTTGAGCCCTCGGAGACGTTCAGTAGGAGGTGTCAGATTTTGCACGGGTGCTTGCCAGCGGGAATTTCCAGCTGCAGATGGACGAGGAGCTAGAGATGGGCTGGGCTCTTCGGTTGCCTGAATGAATGCTGAGTGAGAAAGTCCCCTTGGCACGCATTCTGACGGGCCGTGTTGATGCATATTTAACTAGGAGATAAATATAGGTTTGGGTGTAAGTTTTAAAAATAGCTTAAGAATCACTTTCAGATTCTCCCATTCTTTCTAGAAAGTAGCATAGCAGTGCTCACACGCTGGCATTCGCAGTATTGCTAGGTAAACGTAGCAACAGTATCAAGCACATCTGGGCACTGTTTTTGTTTTTCTGTAATAGTGCAGAAATAGGATGATGGGGGAAGAAAAAATGTGGTGATACGTGTACCCTGTTTTATTCCACCTTAATGTCTTATAAAAAGTGAAATGATTCCCCCTTCTCTTCTTTTCAGCTGATTTTGGAGACTATAACCAGTTTGATTCTCAAGATTTCCTCAGAGAATATGTGCTATTTCCTATGGTAAGTGCAATGCCCTTTTTCGCAATTAATTTTCTACCTTCTCTGGGTGTTTAATACTTTCCTTTGGGAATCTCGTGCTATTGATACACACACACACACACACACACACACACACATTTCCCGGGGAGGAGAGTCCATGAATGTATGAAGCACGGACAAGGTTTATAAAACGATGAACAAGGAAAGATGCCTTTTCTCACCTCCTCAAGGCACTTATCTGCCCTCTCTCCTCGCCCCCCTGGGGTATGAAGTTATACAAGAAACAAGGCCTGTGCTCAGGCAAACCACGGAGTGGTTGAGTCAATCGGGAGTTTGCCAAACCCAAAGCCAAGGCCAAGCGTATTAAAGTACATCAGGGCTTTGTGTGGGGAGACAGGGTTTCATCTTAAGGCATGGGCAGGATTGCAGAGAGGAGGGGAGCAAGGAATGACCTAGGCAGAGACAAGGAGCAGCGGCAGGTGGACAAGAGTCCGCTGGCCAGTCGGACGGTCACTCAGGGGTGCAGGAGGGGACCTGGAGGTGGCAGGTGAGATCCAAGCGTCTGAGGAATGAGACCCCCGCGTGGGCTCCATCCAGGGCCTGCAGAGCCCGCATTTGAGAGCTGCTGGTGTAGCCAGTGAGACGGTTCATGGGAGCAGGTTGGATGAGAACCTGGTGTGTTCCTGGCAAGAGATAGGAAGTAGGTGTGAGCTGGGAAGATAAAACCAAGAAAGGAAAGCAAGAGAGAGAGGTTTTAGAAGTAAAACGGGTAGAACTTGGCTTCTCACCGGTGGTGGCCTCTGGGAGAGAGTCGGGTGTCTGGTGACAAAGGTTTTGGGAGAAGTTAGGCTGCAGTTACTGCCCATCGTCAGGGCACGAGATGGGTTTAAATCACTGGAAGGAAGATGTAGGCAGATGTGGTGAGGGCACCATGAGAGACACAGGGCAGAAGATATGGCCCGGAGGAGGAGAAGCTGTCGGAGGAGGAGAAGCTGACGTCCAGCCCAGGGAATGTGGAAACCAGGGGAGTGACGGCTGAGAGGGGTCCCTAAGGCCGGGGTGACATTCCCAGGATGTGCTGTGATGGGATGTGATGGGCCAGGCCGGTTCTCCCAGGAAGGGTCGGCCGGAGCACGAGCGGAGATGTGAAAAGGGGTTTGCCTGAGCCCTGAGCCCTTGGGAGAGGAGGCCTCGGGGGAGGGGGGCAGGCCGGGTCCCAGGGAAGAGGCCTGAATGCCAGGCCCAGGTGCTGACCTAATTGAGCAGGCCACGGGGGGCCACGGCAGGCTGTAAAAGTCCCGCTTGGTTCCACCAGAGCTTTCAAAGGGAAGGACGCATTCCTCTGGCGGGGGAGGGCCGATGGGATGAATGGCCGCGTTTGATCTGGGAGAGCAACCTGAATTGTCAAACGGCATTTCTGCGGCGGAGAAAAGAACAAAGTTAAGTACACAAGGGCGCTCCACAGGTGTGCGGCTGTGCACGGGCTTGCACGCCGCCGTTTGTCACCGGTGCAGGCCCACCCCTCGGGGAGGCCGGGGCCGGGCGGAGGCCGTGGAGGGAGCACAATAGCGGAGGGTACCTGTGGACGGGTCCTCCTTTCAGAGGAGGAAGCGGAGGCTCAATGGAGCCCCTTTTGATCTTCACTTAACCGTTCTTTATTTTATGCCGTTGCCTCATTGCCTTTTCTCTCGGCGTTTCAAAACTGGGATGGGGTTGCTACTGCTGCTCAATGCCCAGAGGCACGCCCAGAGCCGGGTCTGAGCCACGTGGTGTCTTTGTGACTCCACAGCCTCAAACTGAAAACGGGGAGCCTTGTTTTCCCACCGTAGCCTGGAGTCCGTTCAAGGGACGGCAAAACAGGAAACAGTACGTACATTCACCAGCAAGCGCATGAAAAATAAGAACTGCGAGGCATCCCCTTCATCCTCTCTGAGGTTCCTCACGAGCGTCTGCAGAGCTAAAAGAATTTCCAGGAGATGGCCGTACTGCCATTCTTCAGCTCCCAAAACGCCGAGTGGCCACACCTTCATAATTGAGAGAGTTTTGAGGGGTACCTTTTGGGGTTAGTGTTTCATCGATGCAGAGTTATTAAATTGGAGGTGATCTCTATATAAGAGGTATTTTAGAATCAAGGAGGCTTCCTGCCTCAACATCACCCACAAACCCCCACTCCCACCCCCAGTGTTTGCAGGAGCCCCGGAGGGCCTCATCAGGACACACAGCCCAGCATCCCTTCTGACGACCCTCTGGAGCCCAGAGGAGAGGGGTGCATGTCTGCCCTCCTCGGTGCTGGGAAGGGTGGAGGCAGCTGGCCCCGTAGCTTGAGCCTCCCCAGGCCCCACAAGCTGGAGAATCACTGTCTGTCGGTGTCTCAGGACCCGATTGCCCTGGTCTCCCTGTCTGGGACTCATTCCTCCAGACTTCCTCTCTCCATCGCAGACAAGGCGTCGCTGGTAAATGTTTAACAAGCCGTGTAAACGCTCCCTCCGGTGCTGGGGGGAGCCGGGAAGAGATGTGAGTAATCGGCTCTGACCCCAGGGGAGCTGGCTTACCACCCGTCCTGGGGGCCTGCATTTCAGTAGGTCGGGACACCAGCTGGCAGGCTGCTCAGCTGGTCTCTTCCGGAGTTCTCCTGCGGCATGTTAGCCGTCCAGGCCTGTTGGCTCCCAAGCCTCTATCGAGGAGTTCGGGCTGAGCAGCTGGCTCTGACTTGGTTTGCTGGTGGTGGTGGTGGACAGAAAGGCCAGGCACTGTCCCTTCCTAGCTCAGCTCACTCATCTGCCTTATCCCTGATGGTTAAAAACATGTAAATTCTTAGAAAGCATCCTGTATAATAAAATCCTAATCTGCAAATTGAACAGTGGAACGCCTGGTTTCTATGACGTGCACTGACCACCAGGGGGCAGATGCTCAATGCAGGAGCTGCCCCCTGGTGGCCAGTGCGCTCCCATTGGGCTTGCTGCTCCTTAGCGCTGCCTCGGAGGTGGGAGAGGCTCCAGCCGCCACCGCTGGGCAGCACTAAAAACCCCTCAGGGGATGTCCACTGAGAGGTCCCAAACTAAGAGAGGTCACAGGCCAGGCTGAGAGGACCCCTCACCCCCATCCCCAGTGCATGAATGTCATGCACCAGGCCTCTAGTTTTTAGTAAAAGTGAGTTTGAGAGGGAAGAAGAACGTTCATGAGAAAAAGAGCTATTCCTAGACCCTACAGAGTTTACTTGGCAACCCTAAATGTGTCTTAAAATAGACTAAATTATAATGGAGAGCCACGCTAGAAAAGTAATCAGTCCTGGAAACTAAGCTTTGAGTTGGAAGGTGCAAAGGGGAGATGGAGGAAGGGAGGCAGATGAGGACGCTGGAGGTGCTGGGAGCAGAGGGGTCCGTGACCTTGGCTGCCGTCTGTTTTCCTAGGATTTGGCCCTGGAGGAGGCCGTTCTGGAGGAGCTGACACAGAAGGTGGCCCAAGAGCACAAAGGCCGCAGGTAAGGCTGGAGGGCTGCCCCTGGGCCCAGTGCCAGCCGCTGTTCTGTCCACGGTAGGAAGCTCTGAGTCCCTGCCCCACCCCTGGCCGGAGTCACACAGTTTTATGTCTTCCAGCCTGAGTCAGCGCTGCTCTCAGAGGCGTGTGTAGGCTGGGCTACTTGTCCTCCCTCCCTTTCTCTCTCCTTCTCCTTCTCTCTTTCCCCCTCCTCCCTCCCCTTTGTTTTCTTATCTCTTTCTCCCTTTAAAAAAATATTTTTATTGATTTCAGAAAGTAAGGGCGAGGGAGAGAGATACAGAAACATCAATGGTGAGAGGGAATCATTGATCGGCTGCCTTCTGCATGCTCCTGCTGGGGCCAGGCATGTGCTCTGACCGGGAATAGAACCAGTGAATTCCTGGTTCACAGGTTGTTGCTGAACCACTGAGCCACGCTGGGCTCCTACCTCCCCCTCTCCCCCCGTTTTCTTCCATACCAGCAAGCCTGCAGAGATGTGGAGCTGGTGGTCTGGAGAGTTCCTCTCTGGAGCCTTCCTAAGAGCCTGTTGCCTGGCCTGGGAAGCCTGGTGCTTGCCTGTACTCAGAGGGAAAGTCACTATCCCAAGGGGAGAGGGGGGCACTTGTACAGTAAGGAAGTCCTGAGCGCTGGGGACCAGGGCTCCTGGGAGTGCATTGGGAGCAATGGAAAAGAACGTCCTTCCCTCCCACCTCCGAGGACCCAGGCAGGTCCTAGGGTCTCTCCTCTTGGCCGCTTGGCTCCCAAAATGCCATCCTCATAAACTATTGTGAGTTTTTTCCCCAGGTGGGAGAAAAGCTTGTTTTGAAGCAAGCAGCATTATTCTTAGGAATGTCTGGACTAATTTAATGACTTAGGCTAGTTGTTCTCAACCTTCCTAACGCCGCAACCCCTTAATACATTTCCTCATGTTGTGATGACCCCCAATCATAAAATTATTTTCGTTGCTGCTTCATGACTGTAATTTTGCTACTGCTATGAATCGTAATGTGAATATCTGTGTTTTCTGATGGTCTTAGGCTCTACAGCAGTGATTCTCAAACCTGTGGGTCGCAACCCATGGATTGAGAACTGCTAGCAGGGTCGCCTGAGACCATCGGAAAACAACAGACATTTACATGGCGATTCATAATAGTAGCAAAATTGCGGTTATGAAATAATTTTAGGGTTGGGGTCACCACAACGTGAGGGACTGTATGAAAGGGTCGAGGCCTTAGGAAGGTTGAAAAGCGCCGACGTGGGCTTTTCTAGAGGTGGCGGCTCATCATTGAATGCTTCGCCTTCCTCTTAGGATTCCCTGGTGCACACAGCCCCCCGGGGCATCTGTGAATGCATTACTGAGGGCACCTGCCCTCATGGTGGGGCCGGTGGCGATTGCTCTGCCCAGCACTGCAGCTGAGCCCCAGCGCTGGAATGGGCCCCGGGGAGGGCAGGACCTTCCGCCTTCTGGGTTCGCCCTTAACCGTGTCCTCCTCCCGTGCCTTTTGCCTCCAGTGGGATCCTGCCCGCCGAAGCTGAGCTTCTGTACATCAACGAAGTGGAGCGCTTGGATGGATTCGGGCAGGAAATCTTCCCCGTGAAGGTAGCGTCCGCTGGCCCGGCCTTGCGTCCGTCAGCCTTCCGAGAAGGCCACGGACATTTGGGATCCGGTGTTGCTAGGAGCAGGCAGACGGCGGCCTGGTTTTCTCTCTGCCACGTGGCAGTAGTTGGCAAGTCCGGTTTACTTGACTAAAGCAAAGATTTTTATTTTTGTAACTGGGAGATTTTGATTGGATGGGCTTCAGGAGAAGAACATCTCATGTATAGGGTATGAGTGAATACCAAACACTAGCCCATCCTGCACAGCGAAGGGCGCAAGGCCCAGATCCCGTCTCGCCCCGGGACAGGGAGCAGAGGTGGCGTAGGCCTTGATAAAGACCCGCCCCCTCGGTCTCTTCCCCATCCGTATGCGCTCTCCTCCTCTTAAAGCTGACACCCGTGGTTTCTGGTGTCCTTAATGCACCCATGCTCGCTCTCTCCTGTCCTTGAGAGCCCCCATTGAGGGGGTCCAGTCCCCCTGGTGTTCTCTGGAAACGATGCACAGGAAACTTACAGCATGTCACCTCCTTTGCAAAATAAAAATTAAAAATTAAAATCCACCTCCTGAGTGGGTGTGGTTGTCGGGGGCAGAGGGGAGGGCATGGCGCATGGGTGTTTATCCAGCTGAGCCCATGAGCCAAACGCATTTTCCTCTCTCCGCTGACCAACTTTGCAAAAGACGGAGGTTGTTTTTTTTTTTTTAACCAGAAACCTAAAGCCACTGGCACATTTCAGCAGTTTGGGCGTCGCCTGCCATTTCGGCATAAACATTTCACGCCGGGCTGGCTCCGCCGGCTGTGTCCTAAGTGCTCCGTGCGTAGAACGGAGTGGGGTGGCCGCAGCTTGTGGAGAGGCTAATGGCTCTTCTTTGGGTTTGTTTAATTTTCTTGTGCTTCTCTCCTGGCCGCCCTTCGTAGGGCTGGAATCCATTTTCCTCGCCATAATGCCTCAGACGCCATCTGCCTCCCGCTTACATCTCAGCAGCCCGTAGAGAGTCATGACGTTTGGGGTCCCGGACATAGAGTACCCCGTTCTCCACTCCTAGAAAGCTGACTTCCAGTCCCTCCCTGCAGGGCGGGGGTTTGGCCGTGGTGGTCATTTGCTTGTTTTGTTTTTTGTGCTTCTGACTTGTGGGAGGAAGGGAGGGGCAGCGGGGATAGCGTGTGAAATCCACTGTGCTTGGTTCTGATGCACTTTCTAGTATGTTCCTCAGAGGGACCCTGGGCCTTACCCTGTGCGGGCAGACAGGCACTGCTGACTCACTGCCCGTGGGCGTCAACGAGCCAGGCTTCTTTTTCCTCTTTCCTAACCTTCTCCTCCCCCCACGTATCTGTTCCTGACTAAGGGGACCACCTACACACCCCGGGATTCCTGGCAGCCCGGTGCAGGGGTGATGGGCGGGCCAGTGGGACTGGGGAGGGGTGGGGGAGTGGGGGCGGGATGTGGTCAGCGCCGAGACAGTGGAAAAGCAAACAGGACAGCATGCAGGGCCGGACTGTGGGGAGGCAGCCCCTTTGGGTTAGCCCAGGTCCTACTGACCAAGTAAAGTATAAAACCCTGTGGTGGAGTCCTCGGGGAGGACATTTCCATTTAGCGAGGGCTTTTCCATGACTGGTTCCTTACAGATTCTCCGGGCTGGAGGAGGGTGAGTTCCGTTCCCAGCAGGTCTGCCCGCCTCTCACAGACACAGGTGTGGCGGCTGCCTCAGTGGCTCCTGCACAGTCAGAGCACATGGCCTGGGGAGGGTGCTCGGGAGTGAGTCAGAGTCTGGAGCCTTGGGCCTTGGGGAAGTTCAAGGTCGAGCCCTGCGGTTCTGCCCAGTACAGTGTGCCCAGTGCTGGTGCCTCAGGCGTCGGTTCTGAGATTTTCCCACCCGGTGGTCTGCTATTCCTGTGTCCCCGGCCCCACCAGGCTCTGGCCGATCTGCTGGCAGAGTGCCCAGAGCTGCTTTCCCCAGGATTTTCCTTCTTCCTCCCACCTCCACTTCATCTGCCTTCTTCTCCCACACATTCTCCTGCCGTACAGCTTCCCTCTTTGTGTCTCATAATGACAAGGCCCCCTTTTCCCTCCCATTTCTTTCTCTCCCGACTCTTTCTGCTTTGGCCGCCAGCAGGGTCTCTCACCTTTCTCCATCCCTGTTGGAAGACTCCTATCCAGTGTTCGAGTTGGTGGGCGGGTTGAGAAGAGATCCCTGGGAGGGGACTCGGGGCCAAGCCACAGGCCTCTTCCTTGTTCACAAAGCTCTCAGCCAGCGTTGAGCATCCCACGCTGGACCGTGAATAGATAGTGAAGCATCCCACCCTGCCTGATGCCCTCATAGGAACCCCAGTAGCCAACTCGATGAGAGCGGAGCCTAGAAGACAGATTCTGTAGGGCGAAGAACCCCCCGCCCCAAATACCATCCTGTCACACACACACACACACACACACACACACACACGTATTACCTCTTTATAGGAATAGATTGCTTTTAAAAAGGAACATTCAGAAAATAAAATATCTCTCAGAAATTAAAAGTGTGACATCAGACGGAAAATGTAATAGGTTAGAAGGTAAAATGAAGGAACTCTCACCAAAAAGCAAAGTAATGGGACGGGGGCCGCAGAGGATAAAAGGAGAGGGCCAGCGCAGGGTGTCCAACATCTGGATAACAGGAATTCTACAGGGAGTAAACAGAGGAAGCAGGAAGTAATAGTTCGAGAAAACATCCTAGAACCTACGAACGTGAGGTTCTGAAGTAAAAAGCCAAGCTTAGTGGGTCCATATAAGACACACAATAGGGCTTTCATTGTTGTGAGTTGGTGCCTCTAAGGGAGAGGAAGCGGTGGGTCCATCCAGGCCTGCTGTTGGCTTCTTTTAAACAAGCTCTAAAGAATATTCAGTATATTAATATTCAGTTCTTCCAACTGTGTGCATATATAACCGCATGTACGTAATGTGCATATATTGTAGAATCCAGCTATGTGCATGTAAGGTTATAGTTTAAAAAACAGAAACCAAGGTACACATAGATACTCATAGGTGTTCACAAAAGAGAACATCTCAACTGCCAACAAACCTGAGAAAACCCTAAAATTATTTTAAGCAGGGAAGGCGTCGTGACAAATTGAGAAAAACAGATACCTCATACGTTAGGATGTGCGGTGGGGCGCATCCCTTCAGGATCTAGTTGCCTGATTGCCATGATGCTGCTGCGACTCATTTTTATTTATGGGCGAGAAACAGGGTGTGGCCCTCACGGGCTGCTGAGGCCCAGGGCTGGGAGCCGCGGGACCGCTAGGCATGTGTCTCATCACCACTGTCTTTCCTTGGCCTCCTGCAGGACAATCATGGGAACAGTGTGCACCTGGGCATTTTCTTCATGGGGATTTTCGTGAGAAACAGAATTGGAAGACAAGCAGTGATACACAGGTAGTTCTGTTCGCCTTCTCCCCCCCTTCCCCCTTCCACCCTTTGTCCTTCGTTTCATTGAGGAACTAGGCAAAAACCCACGACATGGAAAAGTTATACAAGTGATTGAATCCCAGTGTGGATCAGAGTTGGGCTCTTCCTCACTCAGTTAAGATCAGCCTTCTTTGGGATTTCAGTTGGTTATGGGGAACTTAGCTCCCTTTTCCTGGAGGCCTGCTTGGGAGCGGGGGCTGGCGGCGGGGGAAGGCCTTCTTCCCAGCTGACCCAGGAAGTGCATCGATGAACCCCACTGACTTGGGAGAATGGGAACTAAACTCTATGAGCCTGTTTGGAGACAGGCTTTCCTGTTGTCTCTTGCTGATTCCCTTTGCTGGAATCTCCACGACCAGTCATTCCATTCAGACCGGCTTCTTCTCCTTGTCTTGGCCACAGAGCGCTCACTGGTTAGTTTCTAGGTTCACAAAGGAGGGTTAGTTGCGAAGGAATATTTGGAAAAAGCAACCAATCTGTGACACACTAAGGGACGTTGGAATTTTTTGCCATTTTGGCCCTCTGACTCCTTTTCCATGTAACATGCGTAGAACTAATACAGGGGTGTGTCCGAGTGTCCCCTCAGTCACATGCCAGTGAGCTTGCTTTGTACCCAGGCCCGTAGATCCCATGTGGTGTCAACAGTCTAACACAAGCACATGCTCGCTTTTATGTACAAGGGAATGCCTGTGGCCTGCTATTTTTTGGAAGAACAGCTTTCCCGTGTGTGCACCTGGCAGGCAGAGCTGCACATTAGGGTAGAGAATCTTAGAGGGAAATACGTAGAGAATAAATATTCTATTGAATCCCTGGAGGTAAGCCGGGGCCAGCCACCTACTCTCTGGGTCAGCGGTTGCTGCAGGTCATTTTGGGACACTTTTCCTACCAAAGGCTCCCTAGTAGGCTTTTTTTGTCCCTCTAAGTCTCACGCTGCCATTACTTTTGTTCTTTATTTTCTCTTGCTATTTGATTAGAGACATCATTGAAGCGTGAGAAGGGAGAGAGATCTTGGGGGCTACTGAGTAAATTTGATTTCTGGATATGCTTAGTCAACCCCATACACCGACGAGAAATTATAAATCAATTGAGTAAAATATAGCAATACTGTATGGGCAGAGTTGCGACTATAACATTTTACGCATATCTAAAGCTTTCCAGGTGTTTTGTCCCACACAGTCCTCCATTGCATGAGAGAATAAATGCTCTATTGAACTGGAAACTTTCCAATACTTGCCGAGTGCTCACTTCAAGATAGTGGTGCTGAGTTCTCCATAGCTAAATCAGTGCTTTTTATTTATTTTTTTCCCCCTTGAGCCTGGAGAAGTAGACAAGTCTTGCCTTACAGCTAGCGAGGTTAAATAGAAGAAAATAGCAACTTGAAAGTTGGCTGGTCACGAGCCACACACAGGATGTGTTCAGTCTCCTTGGGAACTGCTTCCAAACCTCTTCCTTTAGCTTTTATCACAACACTCCTCACAAGGGGGAAACTTATTTCTGCCATAATGCCACACAAGTCATGCCATAGGCGAAGTCATATGGTGGAGTGAGGAGTAGATTTGGAGTTTTGGCAGTGGACTTGAAGGAATGGAGCCAGAGGAAATCAAATACTCTTCTCCCTAGAGACCTTCACTGGGAAGCGTCTAGCTTTGTGTCCAGGTAGATGTGATCCGATGGGATGGGATGGTAGGTTGACAGACATCTGTGCTGGGCACTTGGAGCCGGTATGGCCCCAGCAGTTGTACACAAACACAGTTGGCACTGGTGTCATGGAAAGGTGATTGGAGGAACCTCTGAAAGCTCCAGGTATAGAAGTCACCCATCCCTGGTGAGCAGTGAGTGTGGCGAAGTCATGCACTCGCGTGCGTCTAAATTGCCTCATCACCGAAGTAGAAGCAATAATCCCTGCCTTGTCACCGTAGAGAGTTGATCAAGGAACCATACTCTGTACAGATGGACGGCAATTTTATTACTTTCAATGTTTTCAGCAAACATGTAGTGCATGCTGTGTGCCAGGTACGCGGCTCCGTGCTTGGAATACAGAGATGCGGAAAGCAGAATCTACCCGGGGCATGGAGCTTATGGTCAAGTTTGGTTTCGTCAGGGAGCTAGTCACAGAAGTAAGCGGTCATGATGCAACGTGGTAACTGGTAGAGGGCGACACCAGGCTCTTTCCCAGCATGTGGGTGGTTGGGGTGAGGAAGGGCTGCCTGAGAGAAGGCGACTCCTGAGCTGAGTTACATGGATCATCCAGGCAGAGGGGGAAAGCTGACGAGGAAAAGCCCAATGGAGAGCAGTCAGTGGGGAGGGATTCTAGGTTGGGGCACCGGGGGAAGGGTAGACAGTAGTGAGAGCCAGTTAGAAATGGGCGCTGAGTAGAATGGGAAGCAGTAGCTTGCCCTCCCTTGTCTGGTGGTTAGTTCTGTGTATCACGCTTTATATAAGGTCTCCACGTGGAAAGAGAAGGATCGTGTGCGTGTCGTTCACAGAAATGTCGGCACATTGGATACTCACCTCCCAGGCATGCTTTCTAGGTGATGTATCAGTAATGACAGTGCATGACGTGTACATGACAGCACAGAATTCACGTGGATTTTTCGCCTAGATTCCGGAACATTGTCCTTTCCAATAATGTGCTCCTCCATCATTTAAATCCAGGATCGCGGGGAATCCTTTGTCAATTTGGAACTGGGAATAACAAGGCAGCAGAAGTCGCTTACAAATGTCCCCTCCACTAGACAATGTATCTAGATATTGTTTGCATAGGATTTTTTTAAATTTTTAAATTATTTTTTAGCTATTTCAATAGATTCGTATTGCATTTTCTGTCCTTTCCGCCTTGAGAGAAGGAACAGTTTGCTTTTGAAAATATAGCTCAGTCATCCTTTACAAAACCAGCCAGTGGCCCGCTCGTGAGGATTCGTAAATGCACGGGCTGCCCTAACCCTAACCCTAACCCTAACCCTAACCCTAACCCAACGCGGTTGCCTTTGCTCTGTCCAGGTGGAACGACATGGGGAACATCACGCACAACAAGTCGACCATCCTGGTGGAGCTCATCAACAAGGAGGAGACGGTGCTCTTCCACACGGTAAGCACGACGCATGAAGGCGGGGTCCGGCCGGCCGCTTGGCCCCGTGCCTTCTCAACTCACAGTGTCCTTCCTTTGCTCTCCGTACCTTGAGCGAATAAATAAATGTTCTGTTGAACCGAGACGTCCTGCCCTGACCCAGTGCTGTCATTGCTCACTCCAGGATAATGGTGGTGATTTCACATCCAAAACGCCCGCTTTCCAAGCTGAGGTTTAACTCGGATTGGGGTTCCTCCCCCCCACCTCCTGTGTGATGGATCGCATTGTCTGTCTGGCGGGCCACGTTCCTCAGCACTCTGGTGACAGCCCTCATCAAGCAACCTCCGAGCGATGGCCCTTCCGCTGAGGGCCTTCTCCAGAGCAAGGGCTGTTCGTGCAGCCTCCCGCCTCTCATTTAGTGATGCTTGGTGCTCATTCCACGCTCTGCCTTCCTTCCTTCATTTTTATTTTTATTTATTTTTAAAAATATATTTTCATTGATTTCAGAGAGGAAGGGAGAGGGAGCAAGAGATAAAAACATCAGTGATGAGAAGGAATCGTTGACTGGCTGCCTCTTGCACGCCCCCTATTGGGAACTGAGCCCACAACCCAGGGATATGCCCTTGACCGGAATCCAATCTGGGGCCTTTCAGTCCATAGGCAGATGCTCTATCCACTGAGCCAAACCTGCTAGGGCCGTTTATTCATTTTTTTTAAAGCACTTAGTTTGGTATGATGTGAAGACATGCCAGTTTATCACCGCGACCCAAAGGCTGTGGGCATAAAGGGTTCTTTAGCAGACAGTCTTGTCTTGCTGTTCTTTGACTGGCTTCGTGCCTATGGCTGCCACTCAATCGCAGCATGTTGGTGTGTGGCTCGGGGTGTTACTTTGTGATTGACAGGAAGGGAGGAAAGGGATGTGTCCCTGCTTAGGGAATGCTTGTCAAATGCTCATATAATCAAAGGGACATTTACTTATTTTTCTCTGTCTTTCCCAAGGACGATATTGAAAACGCCAAGTACATCTCCCGGCTGTTTGCCACACGGCACAAGTTTTACAAGCAAAACAAGATCTGCACCGAGTAAGTAAACGTCCCGTCTGCCCTCTGGACGGATGGCCTGGCCCGGCTAAAATGCCTGTGCGCTTTGGAGGAGGTTGCAGGTGGCTTTTCCCGTTCCCTCTCTTCCCCTCGTTCCTCATAGAAGCCAAAGGAGGGCCCGAGAGCACTCTAATGATGAGGACTGTGCGGGGTAGTTAGTGCCTGTGCCTGGGGAGCAAATCGTTCACAAATTGACTGCGAGTGCCGGACTGCCTGGCCGGCCCGGCGCACGGCTGCCATTAGTGCCTTCCCGACCTCTGCGATGGGTTTGGAGGAGCCGAGCTGGTCCCAATTTGCCGGGGCGCCCCTCCGTGCCGGGCGCGGGGGAGGTTCAGAAGCGTGGGGCCCGGGGACAGGCCCGCTTGAAAGAGAAGACGCGCCTGTCATCCTCAGCCCCGTCTCGCCGGCACAGTTGGGCAACCCCGCGCGTGCCTGCGGGTCATGCCATCTCCCCGGAAACGAGGGGCCGGGTAATTAGAGGAGGGCCTAGAGGACGCTAATGGATGTCACCCGCCCGCCCGCCTGTGTGCATGCGTTTTACATTTAATTTGGAAATAAGGATGATAAAGGGGAGAGTCTGATGAGGGAACTTGAAGGTGACCTGACCTCGGGTACCGCGTGCTGGGGCTCGCACGCTCGCGTTGCCTTTGCCTGGACTGCCTTCAAAAGGCAGAGTACGTCTGGGGTTGGGGCGCCCGACGTGTTTAATTTTGTCTCAAAGGACGTGAGGGATGTAAATGCAAGAGGAGGACTGCCTTCCACGGCCCCGGTGGCCACATCTCCGAGGGGGCGCGTGTGGTCCTGACGCAGCGGCTGCTGATGAGCGTGTTTTTTTAGTGTTTTTTTTTTAGAAGCATATCGCTGGGGCCTGCAGACTCTTTTTCTCTGCAGTTGCTGCCATTGGCCACTGTCAGGGCTGGAAGTGTAGTGGGTAGTGGGTAGTATCAGGTCTGCCAGCCAAAGATGGCAAATGTAAGTCAGAGGAGCGTTGACCAAGGAGCGGCAACGTCAGCAGCCAGAGATACCACCTCCCAGCCACATGCGTACACACACTCCTCTGGGGCTGGGAATCCCCCCTCGTTCTTTCTTGGCAGTTCTTTGCTGTTGCCGTTCATTCTTTGGCATTAACAAGAGTCCTGTGGTCAGCTTCTGCGGGGTGAAGGAAAAATCACGTGGAGAAGTGAATTCTCTTCTGTAATAAAATTCTGGCCTGACCATTTTCTCAGCAGGCGGATTCACTATAAAATGTGCTGATTGTATTTCTTTTGTGGTCTTCTCTTAGGATATAGGCAAACATCACGTATCAGACTGAAAGCGAAAGAAATTATACTTTCCTTTTCTACTTTTGTTAATGACCATTCCTTCCTTCTTCCTAACCAGTTATGGGAGGTTCCTCACTTCATAGCTGATAAAAATTGGGACTCTCTTAAAAGTTACACCCCCCCCACCTCCCCCACCCCCCCACCTACACAGTATATTTTGAATACAGTTGTTGCCGAGTCTCACCCCGGGACATCCCTCTCCACTCTCTGACTTCTAAAAGACCGCCATTGGTATATTTTCCTCTCTCACAGTTACTGCTTGTCACCTCTGATACAGCCTAGAGAGCGGTTCCCATGTTTCTTGACTTTGGGGATGAAAAAATGTAGAGCGGAGAGAGAGAAGGTTCGAATAATAATGAATTTGGCCAGTTAAATAAAGCCCAATATTACTCTATTGTTTCCATCATTTCATTAAAAACTCATCACCAAAATGGTAGGAAAAATGAAATTTCAGAATAAGGAGAGTGCTTTAAATTGAAGAATTTTAGCTTGATGGCCAACTCTACATGTCCTGTTTTTTGTGTGTGGTTTGTTTTTGTTTGTTTTTGTTTTTTGCTTTTAATGAATTGCATTTTTCATTAAGGACATGGAAACTGTAATTCTGGAATTTGGGATTTGTTTCTCAAAGGCATCTTTTCCATTTCTTAAGAGTTTGATGATATTCTTAGTCCCTGCTCATTTTTAGTCTACATTAAAAAAAAAAAAATCATGTTGAGTCTCAGTCTGGAAAGGATCTCTGACTAGAGGAATATTTGCAATACGTATGATCTTAATGAAAAAATACCTTCACACCTCAAAAATATTTTGGATTTTTATTTTTTTTACTTTACTGATAGTATTTAAAAATATTTTTATTCTTTTTTATTTTGAAAGACTTTACACATACACAAAGGGACAAAAAATACAATGGCTGCTTTTTGTATTTCCTTCATCATGTTTCTTTAGAAATAAGCCTTATTCTTCTAGCAGTGCTTTGTAAAACTGTTTGTAAAAGTACATTATGTTCCAAACATTTTGAAAATACAGAAACGAATAAAAATGGGAATTGTAATTGTTTTTAGTTTTACCACCCAGAGATAATATTGATGTTTTGCCGTGAATCTTACCATCTTTTCCCTTTTCTCCCTCTCTTGTCTGTCTTGTATCTAGGAAATAATAACCCTTCTTTACATCTTTTTATGTAGACAATCAAATTCCCCACCCCCCATCAGACGCCAGCCCACCTGGAGCCGATCCTCTCTGGTATGTATAAAATATTCAGCAATCGAAAGTAGTCAGTGTGCTGGGGATAAAGGGTCCTTTTGTTGCTAATTTGAGAGGCGAGGTGATGAGGGCATTATGACCAGGTGAGGTCAGGCGAGAATGCAGAAGGGTGTAAGTCTTCCGAGTAGGTGTGACGTGTATCCGTTTTACCTCATTGTGCCTATGATGTCCGTCCTTTCTCTAAGTGAGGCTGAAGGTTGAGCCCCTTGAGGAAGTCTTATTCAGAGGAATGAGACCGTGTTCCTTAAGCATGTAACCTACTGTTTCAACCCGCTTGTTCTCATCAGTTGTTTTATCACCGTTTTTGCTTGTTACATGTAGCATGCCTTCAGATATCAGCTCCACAAGTTCTTCTGTATTTATTGCCATAAATAGAGCTTAATAAACTAATCAGAAAATGCTTTTCAACTTTTTTTTTTTTTTTACTAGTTTTTTTTTTTTTTTAAAGAGAGAGAGGAAGGAAGAGAGACGGAGACAGAGAGAGAGGGAGAGAGAGAAACATTGATGTGAAAGAGAAGCATCGATTGATTGCTTCCCACACATGCCCTGACTGGGAATTGAACCAGAAACCTGGTTATGTGCCCTGACTGGGAATCGAACCCACCACCTTTTGGTGCATTAGACGATATTCTGAACAACTCAGTCACACTGGCCAGGGCAGAAATGCTTTTTAAATGATCAGAAATGGAATAGTTCTAGTGGATGTTCTCGATAGGGAAGATTAATTGTACATTTTCTGATTTTCAGGGCCACAGACTTTTTTTTAACTGCTCTTCTCATCATGTGAATAAGGAAACACAACTCTAATTTCATTACATGTGTTTTGTCTTAGGCTGTGTTTTATTCTGAGGATTACTTAAGGCTAATATAACAAAAAAGGTGTTGAAGAATTGACTTCCTTTAAGGTTTTCTACTTGTTTGAAGTCTTAATTCTTTATTAAGGTTATGGTTTTTTATATGTAATTAAAATAAACATGTGCCCTTTTAATTTTTCTAGGTTCCTTTGAATTGGTAGGAAAAAATTGAATTTTTCTTTATCGTCATATATATAAGGTATACAAGAATTGTATATCTTTTAATTAATTATTATTCTTTCTATTTTGGAAAATACATAGACCTAAACTCCTAGAATTCTAGAGTTGAGCCATTATATCATCACATAAACATTCTGAGTATCCATGTGACTGTTACTGATCTTGACATGATGACCAGTATCACACAAGTGGCCTGTGATTTGGAGATCAAGGAGGATCCCTTTGAACCCTTCCCCTAAAGTACCAGTAAATCTGTTTGTGGTTTTGTTTTCCTTGGTTCCTATCATTCTTCTTTTCCCTTCTTTAGATTCCACGTGTCTTTACTAGTGGGATCGTTTTTTTCCTTTATGTCCCCGGGGCACCATGGGAGGCTGAGTTCTCAGGCTTCCTGTGGTCTGATCTCATTCTGAGTCTCTGGAGAAGATGCCGAGGCTTCTGTTTCCTCTGCCCCTTAGGAGTAAACCATCTCACCGAGTTCCTTGGGACACGTAGGAGGAAATCCAGATAACCCTGTCTCCTCTGGCTTCCTCACTGATAACTGGAGGCCTGATTGCTCTCCTCTTTCCCGTCTGCTGCCTGCCTCACGGCAGCTAGTTGCTTTTTGTATGAGCCGATCTGGAAAGGAATAGGATAATGTATTAGAATGTGTAAGAGATGGAACAAATAAGGTAATCCTGAAATGGTGTCAGGAAGATTACTTATTATTGTCCTTTGCCTGTATACTCATGCCAGATTATAAACAATCCCATACTTGATTTTTTTTTTTTTTTTTTTAAAGCAAGACAAAGGCAGTGAGCCAACATTGCCTGCCATTTATTTCTATTCCCTGGTATGAATCCCTCCCCAGGGTGGTTTTTTGTTTGTTTGTTTGTTTTTAAGTCTCAAACTTGGTTGTCCTACCCTGGAAAAATCGAGTCGAATTATGTGTAACTGAGAAGAGGCAACAATTTTTTTTTTTTAATTTAAAAATATTTTTAAATTGCAACTCAAAGCCCAGTCAAAGGGAGATCTGGAAATATTTTGGAGAGCTGATATAACACCTTTTCTTTGGTATCCTGAACTTCACTACATTGATTTCTGTTCTATTTTTCTTCTCCCTGGTTCTTCTTAATTTTTGGATCCTTGTCTTTGTTACTTCCTTTATTTGCCCATTGGATGCTGAAGCAGCATTATTTGTAGGGGAGGAAATGATAAGTTATTACCCAGCTTCAGACTTTGGGAAGCGCTCGTCTTCTGTTGAGAGACATTGAGAAAGTATGGCCCCTACTGGCTTTGGCTTTTTTTGGGGCCTGACCTGAGCTTTTCTCCTAAGTTGTCATATTTCATTGAATGTCTAATAAGGCTAACTAAAAAAAAATATCAAATTGAAATATAAGAGACCTTCCTTTTTGGTGATTTACAACTTTAAAGTTGAAAATTTTTAGCATCAGGACTCTTTCTTCAAACGAACTCTCATCTGGAACCCCAATATGAAAATGAAATGGGTCATGTTTTAGGTATTTTACTCCCATGCAAACTTTCGTTCTATTAAAAAAAAAAAAGAGACATTGGGAGCTTGGCAAGCATATTAGAAAAGAGATTATAAATAGATATGTTCATGTTGATTGTAGCCTCTTTGTCTTTCTCACGTTGAACCAGCCATCTTGTGTCTTCAGTGCTGACTTAGCCATGAGGAGGGGGTACGGATGGGAAGAGGGGTGGGTCAAGGGTAGACGGCAGAGCAGCCCAGCTGTCCTATGCTCAGCTGGTTCTCCCTGGCAGCGGAGGGCCCTCAGTGACAGGCCTGCCCACTGGTGCCATCTGTTCTCTGTTTCAGCCCCGGCAGCAGCCGTACATCTTGCCTCCCATGCACGTCCAGTGTGGAGAGCACTACTCGGAAACACACACTTCGCAAGGTAACTCGGGCTTGCCATTTCCCTTCCTCGGGTGAATGGTTGAGGATGGGGAAGCAGTAAAGAAGACTTTTCTTTTTTAGGTGATAGTGATGCTTTCATTGCTAATCTTGTCATTGTGCGAATCAGCAGCTTCCATTTGTGTAAAGCACAAACTATCGTTTACTCCGGAGAGAGGAATTGCCCCAGAATGGGCTGCAAAAGGGAGTTGGGGAAGGCAGCAAGCAGGGTTCTCTTCTCCTCCCTCTCCTGGGTGGGCGTGGAGAAGAGGGCGTGGCAGCGAAGCCCACGAGGGTTCCCTGGACCCTCGCTGCCCATATCACAAAGTCCATCACAGTTGGTCAGGCTTTCATGCTGACAGAGAACACGGGCATCCAGAATAATTGAAAGAAATATACAAATAATGTCAACCCTTCCCACCAGCAGTTGCTTCCCGCCTCTCCCACCAGCCCCTCTCTCCCAGCGCTTAGAAAGGAAATACGTTGTATTCCTCTCTTGTAACTCACATGCAAAGTAATTATTGTAACAATAATAATAACATTAATAGAGGAAGTCCCCTCCTTCGGCACTGTTCTCAGCACCTTCAGTAATCCTCAAAATATGCCTAGGAGATGAGATAGGGATTACTATTATTTCCAATTTACAAATATAGGATTGGGGTGCAGGAAGGGTATGGGAGGGGCTTGGGTACGAAAATCAGTGTCTTGACCCTCAAGCCAGTGCTGTTGATCATGACACCAACTGCATCTCAAGGAAGGAATGGTATTAGGTGTTGAATATTGACAGTGTGTAATGGAAAGAAACGTCAATGATGAAAGAGAATCAATCGTTGGCTGCCTTCTGCACGCCCCCTACTGTGGATCAATTGGCAACCTGGGCATGTGCCCTTGACCGGAATCGAACCTGGGACCCTTCCGTCCACAGGCTGACACTCTATCCACTGAGCCAAACCAGCCAAGGCTCAGGATGCTTTAGAATGTCCCTTTTGTACATTGGCGTCCCATCCAGGAAATGTCCAGGTTTGATGGAATGTGGGTGAAGCTCATGGGTATGCACTTTCCATGACTTCTTCTTCTTTTTTTTTTTTTTAAATACATTTTTTAGTGATTTTTTAACAGAGAGGAAGAGAGAGAGGGATAGAGAGAAACATCGATGAGAGAGTCATCTATCAGCTGCCTCCTGCACACTCCCCACTGGGGATGTGCCCGCAACCAAGGCACATGCCCTTGACCGGAATCGAACCCGGGACCCTTCCGTCCGCAGGCCGACGCTCTGTCCACTGAGCCAAACCGGTTTCGGCCATGACTTCTTTAGGTTGAGTGTCCCCTAACCTACGCCATGGCTTAGGTGAGGGTAGACTTGGTCACGGCAGGGTGGCGTGGGGGCTCACGTGCCTTTGTTTGGCCGCCTGCAGACAGCATCTTCCACGGGAACGAAGACGCCTTCTACGGCAACTCGCACAACAGCCTGGACCTGAACTACCTAAACGGCACCATCACCAACGGCAGCGTGTGCAGCGTCCACAGCATCAACTCCCTGAACTGCTCGCAGAGCTTCCTCCAGGCGTCGCCCGTCTCCTCCAACCTCAGCATCCCCGGGAGCGACATCATGCGGGCCGACTACATCCCGAGCCACCGGCACAGCGCCATCATCGTGCCGTCCTACCGGCCCACCCCGGACTACGACACCGTCATGCGCCAGATGAAGCGGGGGGTGGTGCCCGCCGACAGCCAGAGCCAGTCCCTGAGGAACCTCAACATCCTCAACACCCACGCCTACAACCAGCCCGAGGACCTGGTGTACAGCCAGCCCGAGATGCGGGAGAGGCACCCCTACACCGTCCCCTACGGGCCGCAGGGGGGCTACGGCAAGCCGGTGGGCCCGTCTGACCCGTTGGCGGCGGCCGCGGCGGCCGCGGGCCCCAAGAACAGCTCGGGGCCCTGCAGCAAGCCGGGGGCCAGCGCCATCTCCCACACGGTGAGCACCCCGGAGCTGGCCAACATGCAGCTGCAGGGCGCGCACGGCTACCACCCGGCCCACGTGCTCCAGAACCACCTCTTCCGCCCGCCGCCCCCCTACCCGCGGCCCCGGCCCGCCACCAGCACCCCGGACCTGGCCAGCCACCGCCACCGCTACGTCAGCGGCAGCAGCCCCGACCTGGTGACCCGCAAGGTGCAGCTGTCGGTGAAGACCTTCCAGGAGGACAGCAGCCCCGTGGTGCACCAGTCCCTGCAGGAGGTGAGCGCGCCCCTCACGGCCCACGCCAAGCACCACGGCGCCGTGAACAAGCGCCACAGCCTGGAGGTGATGAGCAGCATGGTGCGGGGCATGGAGGCCATGACCCTCAAGTCCCTCAACATCCCCATGGCCCGCCGCAACACGCTCCGGGAGCAGGGGCCCCCCAAGGAGGCGCCGGGGGCCCACGAGGTGCCCCAGCTGCCCCAGTACCACCACAAGAAGACCTTCTCGGACGCCACGATGCTGATCCACAGCAGCGAGAGCGAGGAGGAGGAGGAGGAGGAGGAGGAAGAGGAGGAGCAGCGGCGGCGGCGGCGGCCGGCCGAGCCCGCGCCCCCCCGGATCCCGGGGCTCCGCGGGGGGACCGTGGAGTACAGCGCCCAGCTGCAGGCGGCCCTGGCGCGCATCCCCAAGAAGCCCCCGCCCGAGTACCCCGGGCCCAGGAAGAGCGTCAGCAACGGGGCGCTGAGGCAGGACCAGGCCGGCGTGCCCCCCGCCGTGGCCAGGGCCCGGGGGCTGCGGCACGGGCCGGCCAAGGCCGTGAGCGTCTCCCGCGCCGACCAGCTGGCCGTCAACGGGGCGGCCCTGGGCCCGTCCCTCTCGGAGCCCGACCTGACCAGCGTGAAGGAGCGGGTCAAGAAGGAGCCCGTGAAGGAGCGGCCGGTGTCCGAGATGTTCTCCCTGGAGGACAGCATCATAGAGAGGGAGATGATGATCCGGGTGAGTGCCCTCCCGTCCCCTCCCGGGCCAAGGGGGGGAGGGGGGCGGTTCACACGCTGGTCTCCCCCACCGCAGCCTCCTCTGCTCCTTGTCCCTGAGGACGTTCACGGCGGGAGCACGGGCTGCAGACGCCGAAGAAGTGCGAGGCGCGTGCAGGGGCAGGTTAGGGATGGAGAAGGGCCTTCGGCATTGAAACAGGCGGCATTTTATTTCACAACACGTCGTGCTTGCCCCTTCAAAAATACACCTTCCCTTCTTCCGCACGGGTGCCAATGGGCGCGCTTGGCACAAAGTGCAGTCATGGAGTTAGGGTATCCCAGGCTGGGGGTGTGGAGGTTGGGGTCATGGGCAGTGTTTGGCTGTTTATTCAGGATCCGACTCTCCGTGTGAGCTGCGAGGGGCTCACCTTCCTGCACCTGCTGGTGTTTTGTGTTTTCCCCTCCCCAGGGGAAAGCTTATTCCCCGCCAGTTTAGATGCTAAAAGAACAACATCTCCTGAGCGTTTTCCGTGTCAGTCAGTGTATGTGTCAGGATGGCTCACCGATATTGACCGGCCTGCGTGCAGCGAGACAGCTTAAGTTTCAGATTTTTTTTTTTTCAATAGACGGTTAACACAAAGTCAAGAATAGTTACGGTAAACTTGGAAGTTTACTGTTGAGCTGCAATTCCCCGTTAAGCTTAGTCTAGTGAGAATTCAAATACATGTATGCGTATATACACATACACACACACACACACCCACGCACATGCACATGCACACACATGCACAGTGGGAATCAACCTGGAAAGAACTGTCAAGGGCCACTGTTGAAGGGAGCCAAGTTCCCGGGTTCAGAATCTAATCTGCAACAACTTCAGACAAACCTTGGGAGCATCCTCAGCCACTCAGGGTGGCCATCCATGGAATAGTCCAGGTGTCTGCAAATGGTTTCATTTATGTTTGGATCAAAACCTCAAACTGTAACCCTCATCTGTTTATATGCTTTATTTATTTATCTTTTTTTTTTTTTAAAGGTGTTATTGATCTCAGAGAGGGGGAGTGAGAGAGAAACATCAATGATGAGAGAGAATCATTGGTTGGCTGCCCCCTACAGGCCCCACACTGGGGATGGAGCCCACAACCCAGGCATGTGCCCTGACCAGGAAAGGAACCGTGACTTCCCGGTTCACAGGTCGACACTCAGTCCCTGAGCCATGCCGGCTGGGCTGTGCGCAGCCTTTGCTATTATTTGTTTGTCGTGTGTCCGTCTATTCATCTGCTTTAAACTAAAAGCACGGGAGCTTTGGCGGGACGGGCTTCCTCGGGCACACCGTGGGAAGTAATGGGTAGGCTGTGTTTGACTTCGCCCAGCTAATGGTGGCTGTCTGCATTCCTTGGCTGGGGAGCTACAGATTTGGGGAGATTAAAACACATTCCAGAATGCTCCCGGTATTGTAAACAATGAGAACATGCCTTTTCTTGCCACAAGAATCTAGAGAAGCAGAAGATGGCAGGCCTGGAGGCGCAGAAGCGGCCTCTGATGTTGGCGGCGGTGAACGGCCTCTCGGTGGCACGGGTCCCAGGGCGGGAAGACAGCCGAGTCGATGGCACCCGGATCCTCATGGACGAGAGGGTAAGCCCTGGGCTGGTCAGGCACGTGATTCATTCCCTGTGCTCTTCGGATTCCTGAGCCTCTCTCCTTGCCCGAACACGCCAGCTCCGAGGTCCAGGTGGTGAATTAATTCTTCAGGTTGAGATCAGCACGACGTAGTCTAACGTGTTGTCGTCAGTGGGCCCCTCCCAAGCACCTACTGTTTCTCGGTCAAGGTGGCGCAGCGATGACCGACCGAGAGGGCAGCCCCGAAAGCCCCTCACAGGCCACGTGGCCTGGTCAAGCCACTCGTTTTCTTTGGGCCCCTCTCCCTTTTTGCAAACACGAGGAAGTTGCAAAACGATTGCTGTAGCTCTCAGTGTCTGTGGTTTTTTTAGTTTTTTTTTAAAGTATATTTTATTGTTTTCTTTTTACAGAGAGAAAGGGAGTGGGATAGAGAGCTAGAAACGTCAATGAGAGAGAAACATCGATCAGATGCCTCCTGCACCCCCCCACCCCCCCCCCCCCAATCAGGAATGTGCCCATCACCAAGATACATGCCTTTGACTGGAATCAAACCCAGGACCCTTGAGTCCACAGGCCGATGCTCTATCCACTGAGCCAAACCAGTTTCCAGTCAGTGTCTGTGGTTTTTATGAATGATGAGCATGTGTGGAATTCTCTGTACCGCCATCCCCTCCAGACCCACGGTCAGAATGAGGTGCACGTTAGTGTTTCCGAGGTGGAGACAATGCTCCCTTAGCTCCTGACATTGCAGTCAGAGGCTGAAGAAGCAGGCTTCCAGTGCTCGTAACAGCAAGGTTTTAGACTCCTGTCGGTAAATATGAAGTATTAAAGCCAGAATGACTGTAGAGGGATGATTTAATCCCGCAGTCAGCAAACTGTGGCTCGAGAGCCGCGTGCGGCTCTTTGGCTCCTTAGAGTGTGGCTCTTCCACAAAATACCACAGCCTGGGCGAGTCTATTTTGAAGAAGTTTATGTTTAAAAAATGTGGCTCTCAAGATAAATGTCAATCGTTGTACTGTTGATATTTGGCTCTGTTGACCAATGAGTGTGCCGACCACTGATTTAATCCAATCAGAATCTATTATTATAATTGGTAGTTTGGCTGTGGGAAAAATAAATTGGGGGGAGGGTATAAATCCCCAGAACTGCTGGACTGTGGACCAGTATCCTCTTAATATTTATCTCAGTTAAATGGGCTGTGTGCATGGAGAAAAGGGATAACCATCTCCTCACATTAAGACTTCAGACAGAGTGTGTCAGTAACACAGATACCAGTTTTGAACCTCACCGCTTTGCCTGGCTTCCCAAATTTGTCCTGTTGAAGCTGTGAATGGGAAGAACATTGGTGGTTGGACAGCAGAAACTAGCACTGTGGTTACTAATGAGACCAAGCATTCCTTGGGCATCTTGACCCTACTTAACCAGCAGCCTCCCTGTCCCTATTTAAAGAAACCCGGTGGTTTATTTGGGGTTTGGGGGGAGAGAGCGTTCAGTGAGCTGAAGGTTCATTTCTGTTGCAGTTCAGGACCCTGAAGAAGAAGCTGGAGGAGGGAATGGTGTTCACAGAATACGAGCAAATCCCAAAGAAGAAGGCGAACGGCGTTTTCAGCACGGCGGCCCTGCCGGAAAACGCCGAGCGCAGCCGGATCCGCGAGGTGGTGCCCTACGAGGAGAACCGCGTGGAGCTGATCCCGACCAAAGAGAATAACACGGGTTACATCAACGCCTCCCACATCAAGGTGAGCCGGCGAGCGGGCCAGCAGGGTTTGTCGAAGATGCTGGGGTCAAAGGTAAAAAATACAGGGAGGGAAAAAAATGCAGGACGGCTGCCACTGTGCATCTTGGCTTGTCCCCAGACCCCGAGGGAATGTTTTTGAACTTCTGGGCTTTTTTCTGACTCAACTGGAAGGGCATGCCCAGCACTGCAGACAGAAGGAAGCTGGCGGCCTTGGCAAAAGCTCGGGTCAGCTATTTCTGAAGCTTGCTCTCTACAGAGGATTTAACCGTTTCTTCTCCTTGTGGGTTAGAGCTCTCCCTCACACTCACAGGGGAACGGAGGACTGTCCTTTTCCATTTGTAAGGAGCTGGCGATGGAGACTTGGGGAGTCCCAGGCGTTATCTTACTGCCACGGAGGCTTTTATGACGCTCAGGAGTCACAAAACTTAGCGTTCTCCCTGGTAGTATGACAGGTGATGGGTTTAACACCTGCCGTCACAAAGTTGCATGATGTTTGGGAGAGTGGGCGAATGTAGTTGTAAACCATGGGGGTGAGCTTGCTAGTGACTCTTGCGAGATTTGCCTCCTTATCCAGAGCGTTAGGGCCGTGGTCAGCAAACTGCAGCTCTTTGGCCCCTGGAGTGTGGCTCTTCCACAAAATGCCATGGCCTGGGCGAGTCTATGTTGAAGAAGTGGCCTTAGAAGAAGTTTATGTTTAAAAAATGTGGCTCTCAAAAGACATTTCAGCCATTGTACTGTTGATATTTGGCTTTGTTGACTCATGAGTTTGCTGACCACTGCATTAGGGTCATTACATTTTTGTTAATATTTCAGAAACGTAAACCTTTTTTTTTTATCTCAGTATTTCGTAGGCTTTAAAATTAGTCAGCTTAGTTTGGCTCCAGTTGGAATTCAGAGATAAGAATGCTTGTGTTTGATCAGTGGTGGGCAAACTCACTAGTCGACAGAGCCAACTATCAACAGTACATCGATTGAAATTCCTTTTGAGAGCCACATTTTTAAAACTTAAACTTCTTCTAATGCCACTTCTTAAAAAATAGACTCGCCCAGGCCGTGGTATTTTGTGGAAGAGCCACACTCTAAGGTAGGGGTGTCGAACTCAATCAGAGAAGGGGCCAAAATCTAAAATCCAGCCTAAATCGCGGGCCGAATGGTTTACTGAACAGTCATAAACTGTCATTGTGATGGAAACGCAGCGGAGTGCAGTGATGACAGCGCGGTGCGGGCCACATTGCAAGGCCTGGCGGGACGGATTTGGCCCGCGGGCCTTGTGTTTGACACATGTGCTCTAAGGGGCCAAAGAGCCTCATGTGGCTCGGGAGCCGCAGTTTCCCGACCATGGAGTTAGATGTTTCCTGAATCGCTTGCCTTCCTCCGTGTCCCTGATAACAAAACATATGTATTTAGATCGTCACCATTTGCTTTCTTGTCTGAAACAGAAGAATTTATTCACATACCGCTGTTAGAGCCGTTGTCACAGGCCGTTTTTAAACAGGAGAAGGTTCACATTATGAGTCTGGTGTGATCGGTACCTTAGAAACCTATTTCTGGCTTTGCCCAGAGTTATTTCCTTTCTTCCTTGGACTTCTCAATTGTACCCAGATCCTTGGTAGATTCCTCTGAGCCTCCAAAACACAGCCAGATGTCTGGCTCCCGTATCAGTTATAACAGTTTTGAATCAAAATATGAAAAGTGAGCCGGGGTGGGGTGTGAGTGTTTTTGCACACAGGGCATAGATAACCACATATATTTTTGTAGTGTATCAGGAAGTACTGTCAAAAGAAATATAAAAGAGTGTTATCCTGGATCAGGTTGCATATTTTGCTCTCATTTTTTGAGAACAAGAACGAAAACAATAATTAAAAAAACACACAAAAAACCGAGTCCCAGGAAACTGATCTTAAGTAAACTGATGCTGGTGCAGGCCACGGGCTTCATCTGGCTGGACTCACCATGGCCAGAATAATGTGGTCCCACAAGGATGCGACTCCCACAGCTGCTTTTTTTTATTTTTTAAATATATTTTATTGATTTTCCACAGAGAGGAAGGAAAAGGGATAGAGAGCTAGAAACGTCAATGAGAGAGAAACATTGACCAGCTGCCTCCTGCATACCCCTTCCGGGGACGTGCCCACAACCAAGATACATGCCCTTGACCGGAATCGAACCTGGGACCTTTCAGTCCACAGGCCGCTGCTCTATCCACTGAGCCACACTGGTTTTGGCCACAGCTGCCTTCTTGATAGCAGGTCTGTGGGAATCTTTTGTGGCCATGTTACACCGGCTTCGTCTTTGGCCCGGCCTCCCCTCCCCTTTCCCATCTGCCGTCTGGAAAAAGCTGTGCCCGCACACCAACCCTGCCCACGGGGTGTGCTGAGCGGAGGCATTCCCTTCCCCGGTGTTCTCCGGGGCCCACGTTTCATCCTGCGGACCTGGGTTAGACATGGGTGCGTTTCATCGGCCCGCAGAGCTTTGCAGGAACTTGTCTGGGCTGTCGGGAGCGAGTGGTGCGCCTTGCCAGCGTTTGTTTCCTGGGTTCCGAGCAGCCGTTAGCACAGAGCGGATTTATTTGCTCCAGAGGTGGAACCACATCTGTGAAATCTACCTCCGTAACACTGGCGGTTGTGTTTCTAATGCAGTTTTTAATGCCCTCCTGTCAATGCTTGGAATTTGCTGGAAGGCCCCGGGCAGCAGCAGGCTCTGCAAGTATTTAAGGCTCCTATATGTTGGATGCCAGGGAGGCTAATGTTTAAAGTCACAGCGCCACAGATAACCCGGTGCCTGGCCAGCCAACAGCTGGATGGATGATATCCCCAGCCCCCGGAAGGTGGACAGCGGGTCTGGCTTGCCAGCATTGACCTGAACATGCCTTGTGCCCTGAGGCAGTTCACAGACACTGTTTTTTATTTGAATCAAGTTAGCATCTAGTTTCATAAAACAGATGGGGGGGAGGGGGTTTCAAACCATGACCACTTCATTGCTCCTGGAACTAGGTAGAGATCTGCCACAATGGGGTGTAAGAGGCCTGACTCCGCAATGCCAAGGCGCAGGCATGGAAGGGGATGTGAAAGAATCCTCGCAAAGGCCACCATCTCCCCCGGATGGCACGGCCTTTAGCACTCAGCTCACAGCTTGCTTGTGGTTGTCTGCCGCTGGAATTTACAGCTGCAGGATTCTCCTCCCAAGGCCGCTCTGAGCTGTATGGGGTAGCGATTTTCTAAAACCATCTCATGGCTCCCGAGTTTGGCTGAATGCTGGGAATGGCAAAATATCATGTGTTGTTGACTTAAGTGCCTCCACGACACCTCCACCGTGTGTGGTGGGTCCAGCCGAGGTTCATGACAACTGTTCGTATCAGGTCCACAGCAGCAGGAAGACATTCCTCCTGGAGGATCTCATTCCATGGTGGATGTCATCATTGCTTGACAGGATGCCCGGGAGCTCTGTTTCTCAAACAGAGTCCACTTAGAGTCAGGACCAGTTTGGGGGGTGTTGTTGTGTGGTTTTTTTTGTTTGTTTGTAAGTAGACTAGAATAGAGAAAAGAATGGAAATGATCAAAGTGCATGGCACACAGGCATAACTCTTGTTTCTGTAATAAATTCTGTTAGGCCACACACAGACACAGACACAGACACAGACACACACACACACACACACACACGCACGCGCGCGCGCGCGCGCACGCGCGTGTGCGCCTATTCATCTAACGTGTGTGTGTGTGTGTGTGTGTGTTTATGTATATGTGTGCTTTTTAAAAAATGCACTGGTTTGCACCTAATTCCTGGGGGTTGCAGTAAGAAGAGAGGATTAATAGCATTTTCATGCGAGAATGTCTCCGTAGCCCCCTGCAGCCTCAGGGGTTTTGATGTTGGCACAGAACCACGTGGCCGCCCCGTGGTCAGCAGGTAACACCGTCCTGGATTGGGGGCTGCCTCACCGATGCTTTTCTTGGTTTGTAGGTGGTGGTTGGCGGGGCCGAATGGCACTACATCGCCACGCAGGGGCCCCTGCCGCACACGTGCCACGACTTCTGGCAGATGGTGTGGGAGCAGGGAGCCAACGTGATCGCCATGGTCACCGCGGAGGAGGTAAGGGGAGCGGCCGGCAGCCCCCCGGCCAGGGGAGGAGTGGCCAGAACATGGGCTTTGTGTCGGGGACTGGGCTGCTCCGGAAGCTTCCTGCGGCACCACGTCTCTGCAGAGCCTCTTCCGTGGGCATTGCACGTGTCTCCTCTCCTCACTTCTCCGTAGACGGGTTGCCTTCCCCAAAGAGTCTGTTGGCTTCCATTTTCACCAGATTTTCACTCTTTTCCCTTCATTGCCATGAATGAAAAATTGAACCGGAAAGAACCAGCTCACTTTTGTGTGCCAGGCAACACCACCCACAGTCTCTGCCCTGGGTCCCGAGAATCTGGGCTGCTGTGGGTGAATGGGCATATACTTGTTCCAACCACGGCCATTGCTAGCCGACGCCCGTCATGCTTATTGCAGAGGGAGACGGGAGCTATGGGTCCAGTAGAGGTTCTTTATTCTTTTTTCTTTTTCTTTTTCTTTTTTTTTAAATGTATTTTATTGATTTTTTTTTTTTTCCCCAGAGAGGAAGGGATAGGGATAGAGAGCTAGAAACATCAATGGGAGAGAAACATCGACCAACTGCCTCCTGCACACCTCCTACTAGGAATGTGCCTGCAACCAAGGTACATGCCCTTGACTGGAATCGAACCTGGGACCTTTCAGTCCGCAGGCCGACGCTCTATCCATTGAGCCAGACCGGTTTCGGCAGGTTCTTGATTCTTTAGGGAGAGGAGGAAAATGTGTTTTTTCCCCTTTGCCAAGTCACACAGTCATTCTGTTGGAACTGGAGGCGTCTCCGTTATGGAAATGGGCACAGGCCACCGAGCAGCTCACCGGGAGCTGCTGTCTTTGTCTTTGGAGGGGAAAGTGTTTTATGTTTCTTTTCTTGTCACATTCTCAGTGTTTTATCTTAACCACTTCCTTTTGTTCCTTTCGGTCCATTGTAACTTACGTTTTTGAAGTCATTTAAGGAAATAGCTTCGTGTGTTTTTTACCCCTTCGCTAATAATTTTTTTAAAATATATTTTTATTGAGTTCAGAGAGGAAGGAAGAGGGAGAGAGAGAGATGGAAACACTCATGATGAGAGAGAATCATGGAGCGGCTGCCTCCTGCAAGTCCCCCACTGGGGATCGAGCCCACAACCGGGCATGTGCCCTTGACCGGAATCGAACCTAGGACCTTTCATGTTTGCAGGCCAATGCTCTATCCACTGAGCCAAACCAGCTAGGGCTTGCTAATAATTTTTAAAGGTGGGGAACAGAGATAATTGGAAAAAAATCACATTTTCTCCATGGACTGTTCCGAGCAGTTGCTTTCCAGAACGGCCCATTGGAAGATAGTGGTGGCCCTGGCTGGGAGGTTCCGTTGGAGCATCGTCCCGAACACCAGATTTGCGGGTTCGATTCCCAGTCGGGGCACATACCTAGGTTGAGGGTTTGATCTTCGTTTGGGGAGCATACAGGAAGCAACTGATTGGTGTTTCTCTTTCACATGGATATGTGTGTGTGTCTCTTTCTCAGTGTGGTCTAATAGAGAGAGCCCTGGGCTGAACATCAGAATTGACCACTAAGACGCTGTCACTCAGCTGCCTAAGGTCGCTCCATCCCCTTGGGCGGCTTCCCACTGTCCGTGGAGTGAAATCCAAACTGCCTCCCATGGACCAGGAGGCCTTTCCGACCTCCTGGCACCCACTTTCCTCCCGTTTCTTTACCACCCCAAGCGTGTTCTCACCTCTAGACTCCGCCACTCTGGCTCTTCTCTCTCCAACATTCAACTGCAGCTCAGCAGCGAATCTTTTACATGTCCTGTTGCTGTAGCTACCATTGTGCATCTTCTTATGGGTCTTAGCTGAGATTTGTAGGATCTAGTCTGTGATAGACACTGCACAGTGCTACTGAGTTAGTGACTTAGAAGCTATTCACGTTCCCCGCTACGCTCAGATTTTAAGATTAAGAGGATAAGCTGCTGGCTTCCCCTGACTAATTTTTCCAACTTCACTTTTGTGTGTGATTCAGGAGGGCGGACGCACCAAGAGCCACCGCTACTGGCCCAAGCTGGGCTCCAAGCACAGCTCAGCCACCTATGGCAAGTTCAAGGTCACCACGAAGTTCCGAACCGATTCCGGTTGCTATGCAACCACCGGCTTGAAGGTCAAGCACCTTTTGTCTGGGCAGGAGAGGACGGTGTGGCATTTGCAGTACACAGACTGGCCAGACCATGGCTGCCCCGAGGATGTCCAAGGATTTCTGTGTAAGTGTCCCCTTCCCAGCCAGGATTTAACCAACTGAGTCAGTGGACTGATCTGTTGGAGGTGAAATGGAAAGAGAAGATGCTTTCTGTTAAGTGGCAAAAGTATTATAACAGGGACGTATTCATTTCTTCTTATGTGGGACAGAGAACACAAATATACTGTGTGCCACTTACCCTATTCTCTTTACCTTTTACGCAAGTAAGCTAAAACTGTGGTCAGCTAATTGACTCCACTTTAATTTAAAACCTTCCTCATGACTGAATCATTATTCTGATACATGTTTGAACCTTGAAAACATGCTAAGTCAGCCCTGGCTGGTGTGGCTCAGTTGGTTGGGCATTGTCCGTCCCCTGCACAGAATGGTTGGACACTGAAAGTAGAGAAGAGGAAGATGGTCGGAGTCAAATAATCTAGAGAACACGAAAAGATTCCTGCCCGTGTTTCGATCAGATTCCCTGGATACAGAGTGCCGACGGCCAGCCTCCAGAGGTCTTCACAGGTGTTAGTACGAGTGCTAGGGAAGCATCCATTCAAACCCAGTTCCTCTGTGTTGTAGGGAACACCATTAGATGGTAGCATCTGCCATATTGGTCATTTCTTTTACTTTATAATTTAGCACAAGAAACCCTGGTCTCGTGTTTGGGAACATTGCCTTTTGTCAGAGAGAATGCGCAGTCGCCCGGTATCCCTTCCCCCTGGCAGAAACACTGGGGAGAGAACGCCAGGCACAGTGTGGCTCATGCTAGCACCCAACAGCAACCAGTCTAGTCAGCGTAGGCTGTCTTCCCTCTGTTTTCTGTTTTTTTGTTTTTTTAATTTTGGTTTGTTTGTTTGTCTTGTTCTCTCACATTTTACATGACTCCTGGTGGTGCTAGTAGTAATAGGTATTTATTGATTTTAGAGAGAGAGGGTGAGAGATGGAGAAACATCCTGCATGCCCCACACTGGGGACCGAGCCTGAAACCCAGGCATGGGCCCTGACCAGGAATCAAACCAGTGACCTGGTTCATAAGTCAGCGCTCAACCACGGAGCCCACACCAACCAGGCAGGAATAGTTGTTTATTTGGTAAACTCAGTGACTTTGTAATGAGGAGATAAGCGAATAAGGAGAACAGTTCTTATTGACTGTAGGTAAAGCAGATGCTACTGGATGAACCAGGCCGAGGGGCACGCCCTTTTTCCTCTCCACCAATTGGAGCATCTCCCCGAGCCCCTTGTATGTAGCTCCGTCAGGGTGAGCTTTTCCTTTCCGAGTGCCCAGGCCTTCCAACCTGCTTCTCCCTGAGCCAGCGACTGCAAAAATCTCATTTATTATTCGACTTCCTCCACTTCCTGGCCTGTTTTAGAAGTACATGTATACCCTTATTTATTTTTTTTCCCGGCCATGAAGGACAGACAGTGTAGTTTTTCACTTGTGCACCAATGGAGTAGTGAACAGACCCCCCCCTCCCCCTGGCCCTGCTGAGCTAGGCAGTTGCTGGGAGGGATGGGGAAGGTAGCACGATTTCCCCCAAACCTGTGGCCTCCAGCAACGGGGCAGGCGGGTGGCTTACCTTGAGCTACTCCACCAGGTGAGACCCAAGCTGTAAAGCAGGCCCCCTGATGTCTGTTTTAAAATCTAAAAATGAAGCCGGGCCTTGGCTGACACCCGCTCACTCAGTGAGGGGAAGGGAGAGAGGGCAGATGGAGGCCCTTCCCACCAGACACCGGCGCTGCCAGGCGGGCGTTTCCAGGGGACCCTGCCGGGGCTCCGATCCCCGGCTGTTGACGGGAGGAATTGCTGTAAGTAATGTCGAGGCTCATCTGCTTGGGGGACTTGGGGATTTGCAGAGGGGAGAACCAAATTTAATTTTTAAAGAAGAACTATTTAATTCAAAGGACACATTCTCCCGTGGACTAATGGACTCCCAGCTGGTCCTTTCTGGCTTCGGGACTGGACCGTGGGTGCCAGCCAAATCATTAGTGTCTTGTAAGAACTGTAAATCATTGTCACTTAAAAAAAAAAAAAAAAAGATTCTCCATCAGTTTTGGCTTCCCCCAGCTCCTGGATGCAGAGCCCTCGGGGCTGCCCTGACGGACGTGCCCTCTGTCTTGCAGCCTACCTGGAGGAGATCCAGTCGGTGCGCCGGCACACCAACAGCATGCTGGAGGGCACCCAGAGCCGGCACCCGCCCATTGTGGTCCACTGCACCGCGGGCGTGGGCCGCACCGGCGTGGTCATCCTCTCCGAGCTCATGATCTACTGCCTGGAGCACAATGAGGTGAGTCCCCCGGGGCCTCCTGAGCCCTCCGCCCGGGGACCGAGCTGGGCCCTGACCAGGCCTGTACCTTCTCTCCCGGCCCGGCTCCCTCTGTCCCGACAAGAGCTTTCCACAGCCCCGATCCCTGCTCGGGCTCTGACATCCCCAGCCCCGGCTCTCTTTCGTCTTTCACTGCCCCGTGCGGACACCCATGTCCTCTGGAGAGGTCGGCGTGTGCCATAGGGACCGGTTAGAAAGTCTGATCTTCGTCGGCATGGACTTCCAGGAGTCGGCAAGGTTGTGTAGGCCGTCTGGCCTCATTGAGGGTACTTCCCCGTGGTGCGTGGTTTGGTCACGCGACGTTTCGATGCGTCTGGCGTGTCTGGGATGTGTGTGGGCCTCCAGCCTACGTGAAAGTGCGTGTTGTGCACAAGGCTTTGGCATCCTTCGGAGTGGGTTTGCTCTAAAGGGGGTGGTTGCTGGCTCCGGTCTAGACGGGCAGTGGCCGGAGTGACAGAGAGAAGTGGGCATCTGAGTGCCTTTGCCAAGGTCAGGCCCCGCTCCTCTCCCTGAAGCAGGGGCTGTGGCCGAGGTGGTGCCCACACGATGTGTGGCATCCCTTCCTGCTCCAGCCAGGTCTTCACTCTGAGGGGCTCTGGATTTCCTCAGGATGAAACGGCACTGGGGGCCGGAGACCGCCCGCTGTTTGTTTACGTGGGGCTTAGAATGGCTGTCGCGTGTTCTGTCTTAGTGGGGTCCTCACAGCAGCCACGTAGAGGGGCTGGGCACGTGCCAGTCCTCCTGCTTTATGGATGGGGAAACTGAGGCCCAGGCACTGTGCAGTGGCTTGTCTGGAGCCCTGTGGCTCTGAAGCAGTGGTGCCACGCTGAGAAATGAGATCTTCTCCCTCTCCCCTCCCTCCACCCAGCCCCATGATTTCCTTCTCCACTCTGCCACCAGCTTCAAGTCTCCTCAAGTTCTGGTTCATTTTTCCAAATCACACAGCTCGGAGGACCTGAGGACACTTTCCAGGTGGCTCGGTATCTTTTCGGGAAAGTTACAACCCACATTCTGCAAAGGAATTGAGGAATTGACGCAATAATATATGTGTCTACTCATTACCATTCCTGGTTTGAAAATCAGATTAACTACTACCCCATGAAATTTGTTCTAGTGTAACTTGCAGAGAAAAAATCAATGCTAAGTTTAAACATGTTCAAAGGACTGTAAACTCCCTCCCTGCCTATAAAGTTCATCTTGGAAGCTTCCAGTCTGTAGGATGCATGTCTGTGCTGCCGGGGAGGAGCGTTCGCAAGAATGTGGCCTAAGGTTGGAAAACACCGAACGTTCCGGTGAGGAGCAAAACGAGGAATCAATTGAGACTGCGTTACAGAGGTTTCACCATCTTCTAGGAGCTTCTATCCTTTTGTCTCACATGACAGTTCTGGGTTGCTTGCTTCTGCCACTGTTGGAAGTCTCTAGTAGAGTGGATCGCTTGCCACCAAGTCCCAAATCCACTCAGCACTGGGAGATGGGATGAGATGGGATGGAACCAGGGGACCAATGGCTTGAGCATTTTGTGGGCTCCCCTGGGCTACCGTGGGCTCCCCTGGGGTACTGTGGGCTCCGGGGGTGAAGGAAGGGCCTCGCCATCTCTTGCCCCCCACCCATCCATGTCTCTTTCTCCCTACTCCCATCACTTTCTTTCCCTTCTCTTCTCCATTCCCCATGCACTCTTCTGCTCCCCGTCCTCCTCTTTAACTTGAGAAGCTATTCTGTCCATCTTGTCTGGAGACCCATTAAAGGCCAAGCCTCAGTGAGGCGATAACACGAAGGCTCATTGATCACCAGATGTTCCTGGCCCAGCAGGACGTACACACAGCGCACGTCAGAGCCAGCATGGCACCGAGGGAGGGACCCGGCCATGGGGGCCTCGCGTGGACTTGATGAGGGCTCGGGCGATTAAATTCTCCTCTCCGGTGTGTCCAAACATAGCAGATTTCCTCCATGCCCAGTCGCACGCCAGAACATTCTTGGCCGGAACGTGGTCAGTCCAAAAGGGACTCCTGTTCCCATTGATATTCAAAGATAGCTGGATGACTCATTTTTCACTTCCCTTCCCCAGCACAAATATAGCTGGCCTTATCTGCCCGTTTCCCATCAGTGCCATTGGTATAATAGATGGTGAGGGAGAAAAAAGTTCTCCACTCTGTTCTGCTTCAGGCCTGACGAGAAAGCTCCAAGCTCTTATTTTGGGAGAAGAGTGGAACACGTTTAGTTCATTCATTTGTGTTTTTTGTGGTTTTTTTTTTTTTTTTTTTTACAAATATGAAAATGTATGTCCTATTATTTTCCTTTCTAAACTTTCCTGCCTCCTTTCCATGGCTTCTGGATTAACCCCCTTTATGTTTTATTCTCAAATCCATGCAGTTTTAATTTTGTCAGTGAAATGCCTTTTCTTCTCCCTGAAGCAAAGATGTGTGAGGTCAGCACCTGTGAGGTAGGGATGGGAGGGGACTCACCCAGGCTGTTCCAGAAAGCCTCTTTGTGGCCCGTTGCTTTTGGTCTCAGAATGTTTACCTGTCACGCTTTAATGCCCACACGTTTTATGGTTTATAATACTCTCTTTTGGCCCCTGGAGTTAATTTCAAACGACCAGGTTAACACCAGCCAAATAGCAAGGTGGCCTGGTCTTCCTGCTTTTCTGAGTTGGTTATCCCTCCTTCATAGAGCAGGGAGAGAAAATGCCTTCCAAGCAAGGCTGAGCGAGCATCAGCTGCCTCATAATTCCTTGGGTTAGGGCCAGTGACCGTCAGCGCCTGTGAGAGTGAATCTTCAAGGCAGCGGGGACTCTTACCTTGAGGACCAAGAGACCCTTCTTTGTCTTATCTCCAAATTGCACCTTATCAGATAATCGCTCCTTGGGGCTGAGTCTTACAGGCTATTAAGATGGTGGTGGAGGTCCTGGTGGGGATGGAAGAGGAAGTGGTGGAGGGGTGGTGGTGGAGGTAGTAGAATGGTGATGGGGGTAGCAGAGATGGAAGTGGAGGTGCTGGTGATGATGATGACAATAATGAAATTATAACAACAGCTAACCTGTATTTAGTGTTTACATATGCCGGCACTATTATAACGGTTTTCCAACTCGAGAAGCCTTTACAGTTAACTCTGTGGGAAGGGTCTTGTGTAACACAGGAAATGAAGAAATGTGTCCAGATCCCACACCTAGGAAGTAGAGTGGTGCTTCAGCAGGTGATGGTTCATTTCATAACATTATAAAATGGTCATGCGTGGTCTTTAAGAACTGTGTGCAGACATTGTGCTCGGTGCTTCACATGGATGTCTTTATTATGTTCCAGGAAGTAGGTATGTGATCCAGAAGCTTATACCCCATGTCAGTCACTAACCTGGGCAGGGCCACTGTGCCATTGGAGGATCCTTATCCTTAGCTACAGGTGAAGAAAGGAAGATCAAGAGATGGCATAAATCCTACCGTTGGGCCATGATAGGGTTGAGACTACCAGTTGGGTTTAACTCCAGCCTCTATGTTTTCTGTAACACACTGGTCTGTGTTTTATATACCGTGTTTCCCCGAAAATAAGACATCCTCCGAAAATAAGACCTAGCGCATGGAAAGATAAGACATCCCCTGAAAATAAGACCTAGCGCAACTTTGGGAGGAAAAAATTAATATAAGACACTGTTTTATTTTCGGGGAAACAGGGTAACACATCCCTGGCTGGTGTGGCTCAGTGGTTGAGTGTTGACCCATGAACCAGGAGGTCACAGTTCCATTCCCAGTCAGGGCACATGCCCGGGTTGTAGGCTCATTCCCCAATATGGGGTGTGCAGGAGGAGGCGGCCAATCAATGATTCTCTCTCATCCTTGATGTTTCCATCTCTCTCTCCCTCTTCCTTCCTCTCTTTGAAATCAATAAAAACATATTAAAAATAAGATACAGTAGCATATCCGTGGCACGTGCCAACCTGGTTCTCCAACTGCTGGTATCAAGTCTTTGATTGGGAAAATCTAAGGGGCTGAGTCCTTTGCTCTCTCCTGTGCCTGTGCATGGACAGCGAAGGAATGCTGCTTGGACGAGGGAATGAGGAAATACCCATGGGAAGCTCCCCATCTCAGGACCTTGTGCTTTTTCTCTTTTCTTGCAGAAAGTGGAAGTGCCCATGATGCTGAGGCTCCTCCGGGAGCAGAGGATGTTCATGATCCAGACCATCGCTCAGTACAAGTTTGTCTACCAGGTCCTCATCCAATTCCTCCAAAACTCCAGACTCATTTAACCCCCGGACCCAGCCCCCGGAAGAGGGACCCAGCTCCATTGTGCAGATGGGGAGGCGCCTCCAGACAGAGCCCGCGCCCCCAGCAGGGCACGGATGGCTGGAGCTGACAGGACACGGGCTCCCTCACCCCGGGAGCCAAGATGCTTCATAAACATCATGTATTATTTTGTATGAGATAATTTATTTTTTTCCCCCCTTTGGAATAACTTGTGTGAATCATTGTAATGGCAGTTTTGATGGTAATGTAGTGCTTTTCATTGGAACCACATTTTGACTGATCTGCATTGTAACGTGTTGGTAGGGAAAGGTCGCCTGGTGGATCATTTGGGGGACGGAGGCAGAAGGGGAGCACATCTCTGGTGAAGTTGCAGCCAGATGGGTAACCAACCCTGAAATCCATCAGCTTAATTGCTCATGTCCAAATCAAAGATGGCAAGAAAATGAATTTATCCTAAAATGTAAAGATGAGGGTGCCAAGACCTTTTTTCTCTGAAGGAAAAAAAAAAAAAAAATCTGCTCTTCTCTTATATTTTGGGCTCGGGAGCCTTGATTCTTCCCTTCTTCCTTCGGTCCTCACCCTCAGTAGTCTTCCCCCAGTCCCTCTTCCAACCTTGAGTGATAGCCGGAGCAGCTAGTGGAAAGGCTGCATTGACTGTGCAGTCATCCTTGCCCACGCTGAATGGGGAGCTTTGTTTGCATCTTTCCCGACCACCCATTAACCTGGGCTCTGGAGGCTGTGTTTCCTTGCCGGGGGCTGCACCCTCAGTATTTGCAGCTTCTTCTCATTTGCTTGGTGGGTGCCAGGCTGGTGGCCTTGGAGGCCCTGGGCCAGGCCATCTGTGCAGCGCGCCATGTTGCCTGATTGAGAGAAGCGAATGGACCAGAGTGAGAAGAGAGACAGGAAGGCCCTCGATACTGCATTTGTTTAGGATGGGTGTGCTGGACGGGGGTCTAAAGGTCAAGGGGCTGGGGCGTTCTGTGTGTCCATGAGCCACCAAGTCATTGGGAAGGTTGCAAAGGAGACAGTGGAGAACGCTGACTTGGGGGGGGGGGGGGGCTGACTCTCAGCAGGGGTCCTGGCCAGGAGCCACACCAAGTGTGACCCCACTGTGCTCATGCCATCTCCAGACTGTGGTCTGTGGGAGTGGAACTCAGCCCGCTCAGGGCTCTGTCATCGTAGGCCTGGCCCTGTGATGAACGTGGTGGAGTTGGTCTCGCACAGAGCCCAGTGGTGGTCCCTCCTTTCCCCATACAGTCTACTCTGGTCATTGTCCACACTGCCTTCAGGGAAGCTCCGTCCCCCCTTTGTCTCTTCCTGGGCCTTCACTGGCCCCTGTGCTTCGGAATTTCTTAGGTCAGTACACAGATATTCCACGCACTTTCCATCTTGCCGAGTTTGGGGGGCATTTTTTTCTCTCGTTTTTCTTGAATGTAACTTTTAAATTGTTTTGTTCTCCGAATCGACCACTGTGGTGTTCTACCGTGCCTTCTTCCTCTGCTGCTTTTATTTTCTTCTTTGTCTCTTCCTGGGCTGGAAATACAAGGAAAGAAGGCCCTCAGAGCAACTAGAAAGAAGAGTTTGCCTCTTTAACTTATCGTCACCACACACCAACGGACGGATGGGTGTCCCCATGAACTGCTTTGGCATAAGAATCAGCTCAGCTTCACATCTGGCCAGATGGTATGGTTTTTCTCTTCTTTAGACTCAGAGTCTCTGGTGATGGAGGGCCTTTTGTCTTCTACCCCATGGTCTAAAGGTGTCTAATAACTTCAGCTGAGCTCTGCAGGTCCCGGAATTTTGGTCTAGATTCTGAAAAAGAAAGCCATTAGCATGCCATGTATTTCCAGCGGAACAGAGCTCACAGCCCTCACTCAGGCGCTCAGGACTTGGATCATCAACAGGCAGGGAGGCATTGGTTTCCTTTCCTTAGATTCAGTCCATCCTTGGATTATTCTGCTGTGAGGGATGTCTGAACAGTGGTTCTGCAAGTGCCTGCTTTATTGTTTGATGAACTGTCAGTATGTCTCTCTCATCTCGTGGGCCCCAGCGTGGGCGGTGCTGACAGGTCTCGTGTGGGCAGCCCGTGGATCTGCTGTCTTTTTGAGCTCCTCACTCACGGTCGCCTCTTCAACCTGTGCACGGTGGCTTCCTTGTGCTCCAGGAGTACTCATGAATGCAGGAAATGAATGGGTTTAATATCCCGATTTCCAGCCAAAGTTTACGTTGAAACCCAAAGGCAAACATTGAACGTTATGCCCCATCTTCCCTTTTGAAAAACAAGTGCTTTGAGTCCTTCAGCACATTTTGCATTCCTTTCCACGGCTCCCAGCAAATGCCAGCCCCTCTCCTGTTCAATTAGCGGCCGCCACTTAAAGTTCTTCCAGTGGCATCTGCATAATCATTGCCCAGAGATGCTTTGTATCCGGGAAGCCTGCCAAGGAATAAACCTTGAAGCAAAAGAGTATTAAATTAGTTATCTAGTTAGAGCTTTTGGAATGAGTTCCTGATGGTGTACCAAGTCTGAAGCCGAGGCTGTTGGAGAGTCTGTTTGCTGTGGTTTGGGTTTGAAGAGAGAAAATTAAAAAAAGTTTCTCAACAACAAAGCCCTCCAACACATCCAGGCCTCTGGTTCTGAAGTTCTCCAGGTGACATGCTTTGTTTCTTTAATCCACACTCATTTGGATGCCCCGGCCCCGTGTTTGTCCTTGCTCAGTGCGACCGCTGGATGGTGGGGGCGGAGTTTGATGTCTTCATCCTGGAGCTGAGCCTGTGAGCTTCTTTTCTCCAAGGAGACACCACCTTTCAGTAGCATTTCCATCTACAGACACCTCTCTCCCTGGACAGGAAGTAGCGCACATTGGTTTCTCCAGCTGGGAGCAGTAAGATGAGGGAAGGGGGAAACTTCTCCACACGGAATACTTGGAGTCATAGACTTCCGAGAAGCCCAAATACAGGTAATCTCACTTTCGTACTTTTTGTGGTCCTAGACTGAGACGAGGAGCTCCATTTTTAACTGTAATCGTTATCATCGTTTGCCTAGGGAGTCACTTGTCCATCTCGGCTCCTTCCCTGCGGGCTGTTCTCCGAGATTTGACCCTGGGCTCGCCCAGTGCTCACCTCACCTTCATCCTGTTGCCCTCAGCTTCTGTGGTTCCGTTATCAGCCCCGGTGGGTACGGCAGGTCAGCGTTTTTCTCCGGTTGCTTCCTTTTCTTATCTTTCCCAGCTGACTGTAAGTTGACCCATTTCCAATAGTTGGACCATATTTTACTTATAACAACATGGATCAACCTAATCTGTAGTGTGTTTCTTCCCCCCACACAGTATTGATCCCACCACACAGAAAGATGGCATTTTTTCCAAACAAGAGCCGTAGCTCACGGAGGCCCGTGTAGTGGGCAGTGTGGCCCCGTGCGGACGAGCCGTCTTGCTCTGGTGATTGTCGCCTCACTCGGTGGGGCCCGGGAGTCCCCGCAGAGATGTCGGTACATGTTGATTCTGACAGGCGGGCTTGGCCATCAGGAGTGTCACCCTGGGGGTTTTCTGCTGCCGTCTTTCCTGGCTGTGCCATCGGTTATGAGCTGTCCTCAGCCCAGGGGTTAGGGAACGTGATGTGCGACCCCCGAAGGTGGCCTCCGACTTCCACTGCGTGCTTGGCAGGAAAACGGGTCTAGTTATGGATTCTTTTGGGGCAGATAGTCAACCACTTGGGGTAGAAGGCAGGTGCAGGGAGCTCAGATTAAAGGACTGGGATTGGGTCGGATCCACGTTCCTCTATCCTTCATTCCACCTCCGTGTCAGGGGTAGCTGGGCTCCTGGGGTAGGACACTTCCAGAGGCACCCAGCGGTCACTGTCGGGCTCTTGGGGTGGCCCTGGGTGGGAACTCAGCTTTCTCTTGTTTTACCAAAGATTCTGCTGCTGCTGTTCTGCCTCATTGCCTGATGTTTTTACCAGACATTTTCTCACGCTCTTAGGTAGTGATTCCTTTTTTGGTGAGCACAAAGCAACAACCCATCCCACACCACCTCCAAGTGGAGAGGTTGGGGTTTTCCGTGGACACCGTACACCCTTCCCAGTGGCCCACAGCTCTGTGACTGACAGACTGGTTGGCCCTGTGGGGTGGGAATCGCTAGGGTGTTCAGTTGTGTTTGACACTTCCCTTGAGTGAGCTCCGAGCGAGAACACAGAATGGTTCTGTTTTGCCTGTTTATGAGGCCCTGGGTGTGTGTGTGTGGGGGTGGGGTGGGGGTTGGGTGGAGGGTGACAAAAGGCCTTCGTGACCATCTGTTGCACGTAGCAGCAGTGTGCCTGGGAGAAATGTGAGGTGTGTCCATTCCAATTCCGCCAACCCATCAACTCGAGTGGGCAAGCATTGTTATCCATACAAGACCACCTTTCTTGTCTTTGCCAGCTTAATCCATCTGCAGGCTGCTCTCCAGGCCGCACCAAAGGGCTCTGTAAAAATGCCCACAAGCCTGGGACGGTGCGGTTTGGTGCCGTAAAGGGGAGGATGCACAGCCCTCCCGTCCCAACAGCAAATTCAAGGGCACGGCCTTGGAAGGCAGCAGGGCCAGAGATGAAGTGCAGCCCGGGTTTGACAAGCAGCTGCTTGGAAGTCCCTGCTCCTCCTGCCACCCTCTGGGCCATCAGGATCCTTCTGTCCAGAAAGTGCCTTACCTTGCCCGGGGAAGAGAGAGGACTGGGGAGAGGAGGGGGAGCTTTTAGATCAGCCCTGAAGTTACTATCAAAACATTCACAATAATTTTCCGGACCCGAGGATGTCCGTCCTGAGCCCTTGTGTGTGGTTCTAAGCCGCATCCTCACTGCTGGCAGAGAGCTCGATGGTGCCCTGGGTTCTGGTGGTGCCTCCCCTCGCTTGCCGGTAACTGATCCTTTCCTGGCAGCCTGACCAGCGGGGTTCTGCTCCTCCAGGGGCTCCAGGGTTCGCCATGGCAGCTCCCGGGCAGCTTCGTTCCCCGTTCCTGTCCTTTATGCAAGTGCTCATGATCAGGGCCCAGAAGGGAAGGTGTCAGGACAGTAACTGCAGTTGTTCCTTGTCTTGTTGGAGGACCTGGGGGACCTACCTTGTGATGTCACCCTCTTCCTTCCCAGAGCAGCTCCCTCCCCCTGGGCGGGGCGGACCTCGGCCTGCTCTCCGCCTGCTGTCACCAGCACACCGTTTCTTCCCCTACCTGGTCAGGGTGGCCCCTACAGAATGGTTTCATCTGGTCACCGAGAACCACTCTTCAGCCTCTCCGAACGATGTCATTAGGAAGTTGGATTTTGATTTTTGAAAGTTACGTCGTCTCAAGGAGTATGAGATCTGGCAGATGGAAATAACCAGAATGGAAACAGCTGCCCGACCCACCCACTTTTTCCCGCTTGGCCATGCCTCCCCCCCCCCCCAGCACGAGAGATGAAGCAAGGATGGACTCGATGGCTGGCCCTGCTGAGGATTGCAGCAGCACCTGCTATTCCTCTCCTGGTAACCTACGTGGGTTCCCAGCGGCTGCATTGGGTACATGGTGTGTGTGGTCCGATGTATTTGTTTCTAGCTTCCTCCTGCACCCATGCCCCCTCCATCCTGGCCAGGATCAGGGGCAGCGCCAGCTCCCCAGGCACTTCCACATCTGTCACCCAGGGGAGGGGCAGGCACGCCACTCATCCACACTCTAGCGAACCCGGTTCTCCTTCCCCAGCCTCCTCCTCCAGGGAACCCCCCCTCCCCCCACCTGACACAGTTTCAAGGAGAAAGCTGCCTGGGGTCTCTGGGGTCTTGGTGTGGCCGGGGTGGTGCTGTTTTGCTGAAATCTCAGGAATCCTGCTTTGAGCTTAGGGAGGTGGCTCTCAGGGCTGGGGTGCCCGGCGTCCTGGGCATTTCTCAGGGGCCTCCCTCCTCCCTCCGCTGCGGGGTAGTTATCTAATAAATAGTAACCTTCAGCAGAGAGCTGAAAGCTGTTCTCCGGAGCCATTTTTCCTTTTTTTCCAACTTGAACGTTGTCAAATGTTACTGCCGGGTCCCTTTCGCTGAACTTTCTTGGAATCTTCCCAATCCTACTCTGTCCTTCCAGGAGTGAGGTTTCTCTTCCATAGAGATGGTTCCCTGGCATTTCCTTTGTTCCTCTCCTAGCTCACTCCTCCGAGGAGCCTTAACGTGGAAAAAGAAAGGGTTACACATGCAGATGACTATTGACTCTATAACCTTGCGTAGCTTGTGTTGCTTCAGATAACAGGCTTATGATCTAGTTTGTTCCACTGGACCGTTGTCCCGCGACTTCATTCAGTATTTGGATGCTTTCCTTGGTCTGTGTTTTATACAATGTCGTGCATTGTGGTATCCTCCGAACCACTTGACACTGAACAGGTTTCAAGTCCAAAGGATGTACAGACAGGTCCACCGCTTAGACACCAGTTGGTTCTGAAGGTGTGTGGGTTCCGCCCACAGAGGCCTGGCCTCCAGCGCAGCTGAAATCTGGGGTTGGGTCCGCCAGGGCTGGTTGGCTGCTGTTCTTTCTAGGGCTGACCTGGAGAGGTAGCCACCTGACAGGCTGTTGCTGTGAGCAATGCATTCCGGGTTGGGACTTGGGATCCTGAGTGGCCACCTTACAAATGGAAGCCCTGTCTCTCTATTACTGACTTGTAAGAGGAGAGAGAGAGAGTGGGGAGTTCGTAGGACATTCCCTAAGTGGGGAAATGGTTTATCCATGTTCATTGTCAACTCGGCTTTGTTATACACTCCCTCTCAATTTAATAATATTAAAAGCCTTAAGTAAAACTATGCATGCTATTCGATGTGCTTTTTTTATATCAGTCAATAAGCTTGTGCTTGGCAGTTTTGTACACAGGTATGCAGTGTATAAAACTGACTTTTTGACAGTATTGTTTGCACTGTTTCCTATCTGTTTTTATAACGTCTTATTTCGATACTGGCCCTAGTTGCCTATTGTGTATGTTCTCACTGCCCGTGTCA